CTGGGAGCAATAACTTCAGTGTTTTGTTTTTGTTTTTGTTTTTTTTTTTTGGCCCAGTACTGGGAATTGAACCCTCTGTGTAGTCCAGGCTGACCTTGAACTAGAGGCAGTCTTCCTCCCTCAGCCTCCTGAGTGGTAGGATAACAGGCATGCATCACCATGCCCAGCACAGGGCTCCTAAAGTTAAAAACATGTTGAAGTGGAATCTGTCCAGCAAACAGATAATGAAGGATTTTGATCACTGTGTACAGAGTTGGACACATTTGTTACAACTACTCAGAGCCTTTTGATTTAGGATTTTGGCCATATTCCAAATAGGGATCTAGATTTGGGATTTTGGCCATATTCCAAGTAAGGATCTAGGTTTGGAATGGTAGGATCTTGTATAGTTGACTTGGGCGTTTAAGGCAGGGTCCCACGCATAAGTGATTTTCTGAAGTACTAGTTTTTCTGCCACAGGGTACATCTTCCTGTGTTGTGTTTTTCTGACCTTCCTTTCCCCATCTGTAGTGCTGGAGGCAACCTGCCGAACAGCAGCAATTTTGGTAAGAAGTTGAGCGCTGTTAGGGATCTTCATGGGTTTTCTGTAATCTACTTGGTGCTTCATAAAATTTGTGGTCCTGGATGATGAATTGCTTTTTGGATTTTCCATTTTCTCTGTCAGACTGAGTTTTGGTCAACAGCATGTTTAACATTACTCTAGGGGAGGAGAGAAGTCGATGTTGTGTTTTTTAGGTACTAGGGACTGAGTCAGGTCTTTTTCACTGAGCTACATCTCCAGCCTCTTTTTATTTTTTTATTTTGAGACAGGGTGTTGCTAAATCACTAAATTGCCTAGGCTGGCTCAGACTTGCAAACTCCTGCCTCAGCCTTCCAGAGTGCTAGGATTGTAGGTGTGCACCACGATGTATGACTGAGTTTGTGCTTTTACAGTTCGGCTTTTGAGGCATTTGATAAAGTGGATAGGAAAAGGTCCCTGTGCCTTTTTCTTTCTAAGCAGTGCTCCAGTGTTGGTGAGCCTATGGTGTGTATGCCACAGCAGGCTTGAAAGCTCTATAAGGTTTGCCCATCACTGCAGGTGATTGATACTCAATCCCTGAGAATACTCCAATGGCTCTGACCAGGTGATCTGAAATGCAGAGAATGGATCTCCAGGAGTCTTCCCTTGCTTTTATTTGCTCTCCTCCCCTTGCCCCCTATTTATTTGTTTGTTTCAAGGTGCTGGGATTTGAACCCAGGGCCTCACACATGCCTGGCAAGTGCTGTAACACTGAGCTTTGTCCTTAGCCTTTTCAGTTTCTACTGGGCAAAGCCACCAAACACCTTGTCACCTTTCTGGTCACAGATACTCAGACTCACTTCCTTATGATTTCAGCCTTGCACGGGCTTCTCTTGTGTGTGATCTCACAAGACAGGAAGTACAGCTTTTCTTTTTTGTTTTTTATTTTGGGGGGATCGAACTTGGTACATTGCACTTGAAAGGCAGGCGGCGGAACCACTGAGCTAAATCCCCAGCCCAGGCTTTTCATTCTTTCAAACAGGGCAGTACAACCAGAATACTTGCAGCTAAGACCCACCCAGGTTCCTGATTTTGTTCTGAAAAGTGTTTATCAGAGATAATAAATAATATGTGGATATTCAGTCCCCTGCTTAGAATTCTTTGGTTCCTCCCTCTTGCCCATAGGATAAAGCCTCAATTACATAGGAGTGCATGCTAATTTCTTTAGGCTGTGTCCAGCCTGAACTGTTTTTCTCATTTTTCTGGAAGCAGTACTTGCTTCTGTGTGTTTTGCCTTCTCGTTCCTCTTCTGTTTGTCCACTTATTAAACTCCTGTACGTTGTCATTTTGTTGGACGGGTTTGTTCAGTTTTCCCTCTCCTTTCTCCCCATTGGTCTTCCTACTGTTACCAGACCCACGTCTGTCTGCTTACTAACTGAAAGCCACCTCTGGAGTAGAGCTGGTGGCAAGAAAATTATTCAGGGTCTAATCCTGAAAAGGTGGGAGTAGGCTGTCATCCTCAAAGCACTATTCTAGATAGGGACAGGAGGTACAGTGAGACACTCTTGTCTTCTTGTGTGTGTCTTTTTCTTTGGTCAGAATATCTTAATCAGGCTCGACTTCGACCTGCTCTGGCTAGTTCCTATACTCATTTTTTTGTTTTGTCTTTTGAGACAGGGTCTAACGTAGTTCAGATGATCCTCTTGCTTCAACCCCCTAAGTGCTGGAATTACAGACATGTGTCCCCATTCTCAGCTCCTGTACTTTTTGTTTTGTTTTGTTTTTTGAGGCGGCATTATTTATGTAGTGAGACTGACCTGGGACTCACAGTGATCCTCCTGCCTCAGCCTCCCGAGTGCTGGGATTACAGGTGTGCACCACCACGCTCAACTCTCAGCTCCTGTACTTCTTTAGGCAAACAATTACTTTTCTGCCTGTTAAGTGTGATCTTTATACATTGAGATGTAATCTAAAAGTCATCAGATATCTGGGTTCTGTGGATGTAAAAAAGGTTATTTAGCAGTTATCATAATGATCACTGAAGTATGTTTTTGGGGGGAGTGTAGGGTTAAGTACTGGGGACCAAACCCAGGGACTTTGCACTGAGCTAGATCCCCAGCTTTTTTTTTGGTGGGGAGACAGGGTCTCACTAAGCTGCTATATTGCCTGGACTGGGCTTGTACTTGCCTCTTGGGGTTACAGATGTGTACCCCCATGCCAAGTGAGCTTTTCTTTGGGATTTAGAATGCTAGGCAAATGGAGGGGAAGAAGAGTAACTCCCAACAAGGAAATTTGTGATAAAGATACAAACATGACTCCTGGAACTGTGGATCAAAGGTGTGCCTCACAAATCTGGAAAGCCATGGAAGTCCGGCCATTATTGTTTGTGTGTCTGAGAGCATGCTTTTATCTCTGCTTATCCTTTTCCTATGTCTTATTTTGGGCAGAAGAGCTTTGTCTGCCTCCCTGTGTTTGTGACCTGGTTGAAGCAGCCAGCTTGATTGCATCTCTGAGCCTATAGGAGAGGTAAAATGATTCACCTGATGCTTGAGGGACCACTATGCTCATTAGTTTCCCTGGGCAGTTGACTAGGGATGAGATGGTTCACTGAAAGAGGTAGGTGCAAGAAATAGTGGTCTGAAGGAAGGAGTTTTGGCAGGATCCTAAAAGATATCTCTGAATTATTTTGATCCTGGAATATAATATAAAGAAAGAATTTCACTAACCATTTCAAAAACTAATGTAGGTGGTTTTGAATTAATGCAGATGATAATCCTTCTGTTCATGTAACAGTAGGCTGGTCTTGTCCAATTGTCTGTAGTGTTTAGACTGTTCCAAGCATTAGTCAAGGTGATTTTTAGTTTTCCAAAAGCTAATTGAATATAATGAATAGCTTTGATGTCTCCTCAGAGAAGGATGATAGACTCTGTCAAAAATAATTGTGCTTGAATTTAGTTCTTTGCCAGTGACATAATGAAAACTATCAATGAGAATTTTAAAATTATCAAAACATGCAATATTTACATATGCAAGAACAGTTCGTCTTGCTTAAACACCACAGCAGCACATCAGAACTGGCAGGGGAGTTTTTTTTACAAAACCAGAGGCCCAGGCTGTACCCTAAGCTTGTGACTAGGTAACAAGCTCCCTGGCAGACTTAACCCACCTCAAGTGTGAGAAGCACTGCCCTCGAAGAACTTGATTTGTTGGCATCTTCTGGGATAGAAATCAGAGCACCTCCAAAGTAGACCATGTTCAAAATGGGTTCTCTGGGAAGCCATGACATTCTATTTCAGCCTTAAAATGGGCTCTTTTTCCCTTTCTCAGCTATACTCAGGTTTCTCCTAATGCCGTAGTGCATTAAATAACAGATTCAAAAAACTTAACAAAACTGGTTGCTTCTTGTAGAATTCTCTAGTCAAGATTTGACTGATGACATCCCCATTGTGTCATTTAACCTGTTTCTCTGGCCCAGTGTGTTTTCAGATTGTTAGAGTTGTATAGAAGCTCAATCAGATTGAGGTTACATATTTCAGAGAATACTTCATAGATGACGTGGTAGCTTCATTAGGAGGCCTACCATGTTTCTCACTGCTGTTAGCAGCCATTTATGATCGTCACTTTAGAAGCATCAGGGCTTGCTAATTCTCTCTGAATGTCCAGTAAACACTGCACTGAATAGAGGAACTTGAAGGCAAGCTTATTGAGAAACAGTTACATAGCACCAGGCCCTGATTACGCATTAGAAGTGGTTACATGCTTCGTTCAGCACTGTCTTGTGGTTTTTAGGTAATCTCGGAATGGGCAGTGAATGTTTCATGTCTTTACTGAGCCTTGCTGTTCTATAGAGTATATGGATTTGTACTGATAGATATGCTTATATTTTCCTGTTTTTGTCTTTAATCCTTTACTCCCAAGAGCACATGATCTCTTTTGCTTTCAACCCTAGATTCTCACTGAAGGGAGAGAGGAATTACAATGGAGCATGTCTTTTGTTCTCTTTATGACTGTGTGTTTGAGTTACCTTATTTTTCTGTGTGTCACTTCAACTTGTTCATTTACAAGTTGAGGGCTGCTCCTCCTACCCTTATGCTTGGGACAGCTAGTAGTGATTAGTTTATGTTGGCTCTTTGGTTTGGTTTTGGTTTGGGGGTTTGTTTATTGTTTTTATTTTTTTTATGACAGTGTCTTGCTCTGTAGTTCAGGCTGGTCTTGAACTCATTATGTAGACCAGGCTGGCCTTAAACGTAGCAGAGACCCTCCTGTCTCCGCCTTCTGAGTACAGCACTGTACTCAGCTCTAATTAATTAAATATATTGATTGTCTCCAACTTGTTAGAATTCTGTCTTCCTTTCATTAAAAACATATTTTCTAAAAGTAGCTTGTCAAATAAACACAAAACTCCTGTATATGTGATGGTTTCTTGTGTATTCAGAAAGCATGCTTTTATGTTATTTTGAGCCTTTAAAAACATGACCCTTTCTCTGTTCTTCTGTTTTAGGAAATTCACACAAATGAAAAGGAAGTAACCGAGAAGGAAATCACACTTCACTTGTTGCCAGGTAACGGTCATGTTAGCATCATACCTTGTGTGCAGCTCAAAGCCAATGATAAATGATGCCATCCCTAGAATTGCTATATTTAAACTCCTTTGTTTTCATTCTCTGTATGTAATAGTAATGAGTTGGTCAAAGATTTTAAGGTCTTAATTCAGTAACTGCACACCTCTCTCTGAGTGTTACAACATCTGGAAAGAATTTTTCTTGTTTCCCTATCCTTCAAGCTGATAAAAATAAACCTGAGAAATTCTCACTTCTTTCACAAACAAATGAGGCCTTTATCAGATTGTTCTACTTAACTCTATTCTGGTCTCCGGGCAGGAAAATCCCAGTTTCCTGAAGAGGCCTGCACCACATACTTACTCCCTGCTGCCCACATCTGTTGTCCTTGAACAGAGTGGCTGCCTGGCTTCACATTTGTTGGTGGTGGCCTCACCTGTCGGTCTCTGCTGAGCCCTGGTACCTGGGATGCTGGGCTTTGCCAGCCACGTGGCCGTCAGGGTTGTATGTTAGGCCATTTAGTATGAAGGGCCCTGGGTTGGTTGATTATTTCTGAAACAGAAGAGAGCGACTATAGCTGCATTGGGTTTTTTTGGGTTTTTTGTTTTTTGTACCAGGGATCAAAATTGGGACCTTGTGCTTGCAAGGCAGGTAGCAGAACTACTGAGCTAAATCCCCGGCCCAGTTGGGTTTTAACCACTTCAAAGTTCAGGGCAGAAACTACTTGGAGTATCCATACCATATATGGAAAATCCTGTCTGCTCTGTATTCTTTTTCCATTTTTTCTTAATCCAAAATATCTTTTTAAAAAAGCTTTTTCATGTGTATTTTACCAAAATAATAGAGGCTTTGTTCTGGTACTTTTATTGTATTCTGGTTTGTCTAGGGATGTGGATGTGTACATTTCTGACTAAAATATATTGGAATATGTTAACTTTTTGAAACATGTTTTTACTCTTTTAAGGCATTTTTCCCTATAACTGTGACCTAGGCCTTGATTCATATCTCCCATTGTTTTTCCTTTTTAGGGGATTATACTTTTGGTTTTTTGAAATAGGATCTCGCTGTATAGCACAGGCTAGCCTCGAACTTGAAGTGATCCTCCTGCCTCAGCCTCCCAAGTTCTGGGACTATAGGCATGCACCATCACACCCAGCGTTTTGGAGGATTATCGATTCTGAAATTAACTTCTATTTTTAACTTGGTGTTATGTATATTCTATCTTCTAGATTCCCTGATGGTCTCTTCTAGCTGAGTGGCTTTTGAGTTCACAAAACTTCTCTGACCTTCAGTTTCCTCAACTAGACCTTGATCCTTTCTACCTCCTAATTCTTACGATTCTAGAGCATACGTCTGGTACAGAGTTGGTGACCGTGGTGCAGCATGCCATTTTGGTAGAGGGTCTCACCAGGGATGCAGTAGCTACTGCTGCTGTTGTTGGTGTCTATCATGTGACCCAGGTGGATCTGTTCTGGTTGTTGCACGTTTGGAGTTGGAAGCGCAGGAACCCTTGTCCATGCACCTTTCTTTCATCTTGAACTTAGCTGAGGCACTTTTAGGGGAACTATTTTAACTTGTAGGGAGGCCCTGACTTCCTTATCGTCCTTCAACTCTGTGGTCTCTGGAGGATAACCTAGTCACTGAACCATCTTTTGGTATTTCCTTAGTGTTTCAGCTGGACGTAATTAACCCCTTGAAAAATGAAAAAAGGAAACATCATGATATGTGCCTATTTATAGTCAGGATGTCTGATGCACTTCTCTGTTTTTATCCTGAAAGCTAGACAAAATGAATTCCTGGCTAAGTAAACTGACTGACTGATTAATTGATTACATTGTTGAGTATTGCACCTAGGGCTTTTGCACGGAGCTGCATCCCTAGCCCTTTTTAAATTTTTGACACAGTGCTTTACTAAGTCTCTAAATTGCCCAGAGTGGGCTTCAACTTGTCATCCTCCTGCCTCAGCCTCTCAGAGTGCTGGGATTACAGGTGTGTACCATCATGCCCAGTTTAAGTAAATTTAAAGGTGGAGAAATCTGAGGAGGAGATATTATCCATTGGATGAGGAGAAAATTCCTTTTTTGTTGTTGTTGTTGTTGCATCGTATTCATACTTAATTTGTTATTTCACCTTGTCCTTCTGTGTTCCCTGCCCTAATGGAAACATCCCCCATCATAAGTGTCTCTGTTTCCAGGGAGCAGAGAATGCTTATGTGTTTCCTAATCTTAATTGTTTTGCGGGGGGAGTAAAAAGAAATGTATTTTCTGTCTCCAGGATCTACAGCTTCTCCTGTGGGCTGGCCACCTACAGATGGGACAGGAAAAGCAATACATTGAAAGGAAATACTCTCAGTGATGAAATTTTTTCCAACCAGCCTCTGACCCCTTTTTTTCTCTCATCCTCCCAGTGTGCAGCTGGAATGAAGTGGTCTTGTGTGGAAGACTGCAGCGCCCCTGTGTCAGGAAGCTGCCTGGAAGCCCTAGAGTGTCACAGGAAAAGGGGCTGCAATCTCTATTCGCAGCATGCTGGCCAGACTGCCTGGCTTTGCTTGTTTAGGGTATTGCTGCTGTGGAACATCTGGGGTCAAAGTCATAAAGACATGAGAATCTGTGCTTGAAAGTGCAGCTAAGATGATTACCACCTATTTGAAAACTTCCATTATTTACAGTGAGAGGATAAAAGAAACCCCTGAGCAAAGGTGTCTCTGAACTGTTTTGGTCTCTCCTCTGTGCTTCATCTTCTCTCCTAAATTTTGCAGCTCCTGCCACTCTGAAAGTGGCGTGTTCTGAAGTGTTTCTCTGCATTGAGTGTTTGTTCTTAGGTAAATAGAACAGGGAAAGCTCTTAATGTTTGCATACTGTGTGTTCCCTGAGGACGTAAGGAGGACTTGTTTTGGTTTCCACCAGGTGAACAGCTGCTTTGTGAAGCCAGCACAGTCCTGAAGTACGTGCAGGAAGATTCCTGTCAGCATGGCGTGTATGGGAGACTTGTCTGCACAGACTTTAAAATTGCCTTCTTGAGCGATAATGAATCTGCGCTGGATAATGGTGTATGTATGAGCTGGATTTGGCTGGGTTTGGAGGGAACCGTGTAGTTGTGGCTTTGTCATTGTTTTCCTTCAGTTTCTCAGTTCCTCCACCTCATTCCCTTCAACTTACAAATACAACAGGCAGAAGCCCTCTGTCAGATGCTCTTTTCAGCCGCAAGACTGTCCAGGAATTTCTCACCTGTGCTTCATATGATGCTGGCTTGCTTTTGACCTCATAGGTTGACACCACCAACTTTTTCTCAGTTTCTTCTATATTTTAACACAGTATAAATCACCTATGTATACTAGTTCCCCGTGTTTTCTCCATACTGAACTCTTCCTCAAACTCAGAAACTGAGTTCAGTAATGAAAATAATGGTGAGGGTAGCCTCTGAAATTGGGTTTAATCTGAACCCAGTAGCAGTATCCTTGTGAGAGCTGTGCCTGCTCAGGAGTGAGCAGTTGAAGGAAAGAGCTGCCCACACCACTAGAGAGCACTGGAGGTTATGGAAACGCAGCCCTAGCCCCTTCTCGTGCAGTGTGCCTGCCGCCCTGACCTCCCGTGCTTCCAAACACCAGCACCATTGCAGCTGCTTCTTGTCTGGTCTGCTGTGCTACTGCCTGCTGTCGCTGCTTGTTTCTGGTCCTGTGCAGAGACTTGAATCACCCAGTGTTTTTTTCTTTCTTCCCAAACCTGGCTTCAGGTAGCTCTTTCAGCCTCCTCTTTGGATTTATGTGAAGAAATGTTAAACTGCATGTCACTTCCTCACACTTGTCAGAGGGCTTTGTGTGGCCTGTTGGGTTTGCCTGGAAACAGCCCAGACATGGCATCTTCTACCTAGCTTTGAAAAGCCAGTGCCCATGAGCTGTCCTTACATTCTTAGTCATTCCTTGCTTAGGGATGGGATATGTGGGTGCATGTCCCAGTTTATCTCGGTGTGTAAGTAGAAAATGATGATTTGCTCTCCTTATAGATGTCTAAAAGCATAGAAAGGAGTCACAGTTGTTCTCTTTTGAATCTTTTAGGAAACTCAGTTTAAGAATAAGATTATAGGAGAAAATGACATTACCCTCCACTGTGTTGATCAGATTTATGGAGGTAAGTATCTCTTTTTCCTAGGGTGGTTGCCATCCTTGAAATGTATAGTTAATAATGAAAATGTTCTTATAATCTTTAACAGTTTATTAGAATGTATTTAAATCCATTTTATGGATTACAAATTGATATGAGAAGTAGCTTGCTTGGGATTGCTTAGTTGGAGGAGCTTTGACTTGAACTTGGAGTTTGTTCTTCCTAATGCTCCACACAAGCTCATCCTACATTAAATGTTGATCATACTATTTGCCACCTGTGGTAGCTGTGTAGGCTTTACTTTTCTTTATTTTTTGTACCGGGGCTCAAACTCGGGACCTTGGGTTTGCAAGGCAGGCACCACTGAGCTAAATCCCCAGCTCTGTAGGCTTTACTTTAAAGGGTGGTATGTAAGGTGTATGTGTTCTCATTAGAATGTCTTTACTACTGACGAAATAAGCCTCTTCTTTAAAGCTTCTCTGTTCCTCTTCCCCATTTTTGTGTTCAGGGCATTTTAAAAATTCATTCAATAAGGGTGAGGGATTTAGCTCAGTGGTGCCACCTCCTGCCTCGAAAGAGCAAGGTCCCGAGTTTGATTCCTGGAACCCCCCCCCTCAAATTCATGCAATAGCCATTTATAATGTTCTCAACACCAGTAGGTTCTGAGTTGGGTCCAAAGTGTCCAGAGGGGCCCTACCTGTAAATCTAGGAGTTAACTGGCATAAAAATATGTCCCTAGCCCTCTCCCTTCCACCCTTTTATTGTCTTAGCTTTCCGAACTGGGTTTCTTTAGACCATTAGGGTCCTTTCTGCTGACAGTGGCCAGTCTCTTTGGATCGTGTGCTAATTCCAGAGGAGTGAAGAACCCTGACTGCTCTTGGGGAGCTAGGGTCTCTGCTAGAGGGACTGGGCTCCTGCCTTGTAAGTTAGCAGTCTACTTTATAGCATCACTTGTTGCCATGTAACCTAATTTCCTCCATGGTTTCATGATTGATCTGTAGTGTTCGATGAGAAAAAAAAACCTCTCTTTGGACAACTGAAGAAATACCCTGAAAAACTCATCATCCACTGCAAAGACCTCCGAGTGTTCCACTTTTGTCTGAGGTACACAAAGGAAGAGGAAGTCAAAAGGGTAACTAGTTGCTTGTGTTTTGGATTTTATTTTCCATCAGGGTTTCCCCATTGACTGTACTTTTGCTTACATTATCTGAAGGTAGACGGGGGAGCCTTTTGCTGTGTGAAGTTGGTTGTAATCCCTTTGTTTGATTAGAATGTGAGAGTTAATTGGGTAAACAGAGCTAGTGTATCATCTCAGCACATGGTACCTTTAATCCTTCAATTCATAATTCTAGTTTTTGTTACTAGAGCCACTAAAGGGTGGAAGCTTATAAGCCAAGTCAGAAGGAAATTGAGTAAAGAGAAAGATGTGACAGCTCAAGTTATCCTGCTTCCTCATCTCTGACAGCCTGCCCCCAGAATAGTAGCGCTGACTTCCAGCTCCTGGGAATAAATTAGTTTATCACCGTGGTTGTGCACGGAAGGAGGTGGCACATGGGTCAGGTGAGCAAAGCCAAGTTAGCAGGTGTGCCTTTGGAGGCCAAGTAAACATAATCACCTGGGAGTGCCACAGCAGACTGAGATTTGTAATTCGGTGAACTCAGAGAGTAGCTGTATCAACTTAATGTTCATGTAACTTCAAGATTTCTCAGCCAGGTGTGGTGGTGCATACCAGCACTCAGGAGGCTGAGGCAGGAGGAATGAGACCAGTCTAGACTACATATAGTAGTGAGTCGGCTAGCCGGAACTATAACAGCAAGACCCTGTGTCAAAAAATAAAAACAGGGCTGGGGATTTAGCTCAGTGGTTCCACCTCCTGCCTCATGAGCACAAGGTCCAGAGTTCAATCCCTGATACCAAAAAAAAAAAAAAAAGAAAGAAAGAAAGAAAGAAATTCTCTTACTAAGATAGTGAAGGAAGCAAACTGGCCATGCTTATGGTAAATCACATGGGAAACCTATCAAATAGCCAGTACATGCATATTGTCTTGTCCACAATGAAATATGCACATTTACAGGTAATGCCTTAATTTTCTTTCATATGGTATGATAGTTCTGTTAGAATAATGAATATAAATCCAGTATATATTCTGAGCTGGAAAAGAATGGTGTAGACAGGGAAAAATTCCCGAGAAGGCAGACACTTCATTTTGAACAATGGCTTTAATCATCTGTCCAAACATACTTTCACATGGTAGACAAACAGCACATTTTTCCTCATCATCCAGATACTAAAAACCACAAATGGGTGGCTAAATGTCTTGGGTATTATCTGATATCAGCTGTAAGTCTATCTCATATCAGATTACTTTTAAGAAATTTGGTTAAGTTTTAAAGTTTTCCTTAGAAGGTCAGAGCTCTTAGAAAGCTTAACAAAGTAATATTCTTTTGGTCTAGCTTTATTCCAAGATCTCAGTCATAGATCTAGACCTTAACAAGCGTTGCTATGTTGTCCTCAGAGTGTCATTAGCATGATTGACAATAACTTGGCTTCTGCCTTTGTTTTATCTTTTTTTTTTTTTTATCCAAAGCATAACCATATCCACTGGTCCATTCTTTCCTAGATTGTCAGTGGCATAATTCATCATACCCAGGCTCCTAAACTACTTAAAAGATTATTTCTGTTCTCTTATGCAACTGCTGCACAAAACAACACAGGTGAGTATTTTCTGGGTTTTGATTTGAGGATAGGCAGGACCTTTCCTATTTTTACCTACAACCATGCAACCAGGAGAAACCCCATCCATCAGTTGTTGAAGTCTTTCCCTCCTCTCTTTTCTAGCTCTTTCTTTTTTTTGAAGGGAAATGATTTATTTGGCTTACAGTTTGTAGTGTTCTAGCTCTTCTCTTTTGCTTAAATGATTCATTCAGATTTCATATTCTTTTTTTCCCTTGATCTTTTATTTAACTTACCTTTTAGGTTTGTTTGCTTGTTTTTTTGGTACCAGAGATCAAACTCAGGACCTTGTGCTTGCAAGGCAGGTGGTGGAACCACTGAGTTAAATCCCTGGCCAGTTGGCTTGTGTTTTGTTGTTTGTTTGTTTTTTTGAGATAGGGTTTCTCTGTGTAGCTCAGGCTGGCCTTTAGCTCACTATGTAGCCCAAGTTGGCCTGAAACTCATAGTGAGCCTTCCAGGAGGTGAGATTACAAGCTTACACTACCAGCTTGTTTACTTGCCTTTTGCTGTGGATTATTTGGCCAGTCCTTATAAAAAATAAAATCAATGTGATCAATGCATTATACTATGAATGTGAGACTACAGAGAAACAAAATTGAGTTCAAAATTATCGTATTTGTTCCTGGATTCTTTTTCTACTTAAATGTATTTGATTTTATTTTATGGCATTCTAGAGAATGTCACATTTGAGAAAGTTTTTAAGACTCAAAACATGCTTTATACAATTAAAAAATTTTTTAGAAAATTGGTTTGGTAAGAGAAAACTTAAAGTTTGAAATGTTTTCCATTTAGTTTGCTGAAAAAGAGAACAATATTTTAAGTAAGAAACCCTGACCATCTGAATTAGCCGTCAACAATGGCTAACATGGACTTGTTTTCACAGATATCTGTCCTCTTCCTCCTCCCATTCTTTCTTCTCAGTCTATTCACTTGCTCTACTCATTACTTTTTTTGGTTTTGTTTGTTTTGTTTTGTTTTGAGACAGGGTCTCCATATATAATTCAGGCTGGCCTTGAACTCACAGCAGTCCTCCTGACTCAGCCTCTGGAGGCTAGAGGCGTGGGCTACCGGCCGGTGTGCACCACCATGCCTAGTTCTGCCATTACCCTTAACATGATGGTGATGTTTAGTGATACTGAGTGTCCTGTCATTCAGTGGTAGGTTTGTTTAAAAGGATTCCATGTAAGCTTTCTGGACCGCAGAGTTGCTTTGTCACTACTCACTCAGAAAACATTTACTGCATGCTTACTGTGGGCCAGGCCCTGTGGAGATGGGGGACACAGGACCATATCCTTGCCCTCAAGGAGCATACAGTCAAACAGGAGGGGCAGCTGAGCGATGTGTCCTTTGATGGAAGTGCCCACCCGTGCTGAGGAAGGCGGGCTGAGCCTAAGCTGATAGTGAGGGTGGTGGGTGCATCTGGTTGATATGGGGAGCACTGAACTGTGGATATCTGACTACATGTTGCATTTGAGGAGATCCAGAGATTTAGATTTTAAAAGTACAGGTTTTGGCATCCCTCCACCCTGAGTGTACCTCCTTGCCCTCTGGCTTTGTAATCCTGGGGCCGAAACTTGACCCTTGGAGGCTTTTTTTTCTCATTTTATAAATAACTGTCTTAATGCTTTCCTTGGATTTTTGTGAAGATTGTATAAGTGTTCACTGGCACTTAGAGTATAGTCATTAAATGTAGAGTTATTGAAACTAAAACTGCATAATATTCAGGATGGATTATGTTCAGAGAATTATATTGATATAAATAAAATATACTTCACACTAACATTAGACTGAACATAAAATTTGCCCCTTAGTTGGGTAAGTTCATCTTTGTGAATAATGGGGTCTTTCTACTGTAGCTGTTAAGTACAAGCGCTGTGTAACTGTGTGCTGGCTTATAGCTTGTGGCAGTGTGGGAGTATATAAGTATGACTTCATTTCCCTCCTTCTCTTCCTCCTCCTCTTTTTGTTCTTATTTAGCAGCACTAGGAATTGAGTCCAGGGCCTTTGCACTGGGCTACATCCTCAGTTCTTTTTTATTGTTTTATTTTAGACAGGGTTTCCCTAAGTTACTGAATTGCCCAGACTAGGCTCAAACTTGTGATCCTCTTGTCTCAGACTCCCAGAGTACTGGGATTACAGGCTTGTGCTATCACACCTACCTTGATTACGATAATTTATATGAACATTTATTGGGCTTGCATTTGAAAAACCACATTCAAGGGGCCAGGGATTTAGCTCAGCGGTTCTGCCTTCTGCCTTGCAAGGGCAAGGTCCTGAGTTCAATTCCTGGTACCAAAAAAGGAAAAAAAAAAATCACATTCTGTTTTTAGGAATTCTACCTCTTATATCTCAATTTGTGGTGTAGACCCAGGACAGGACAATTTCTGGACTTGCCAACATATGTTGATTAGCTTGCCAGAATCTTTACCTTGATCAACCTAGGCTTTTTGTGCCAGAGGTCCAGGGTATATAGCATCTTTATTCTGTTTTATTCCATCCTTCTTCTGTCTTCTAACCTCCATCTTTTTGAGAAGTAAAAGTTGTAACTGATAGCTGCTCATTGGCCAGTTAGCTTTTTCATTGAATAAGGTTTTGTAGAGGTGAGTGTCTAAATAATCTTGATTATTCCCTGCCGTAATAATTTACAAATGTATTTTGGTTAAAAGGTCCTAAGTGTCTGTGACATGGAATTGTAAGGAAAGACTTGGTGTGTATTGCTAAGAAATAGCCAGATTTGTTGAATGGGAATATTATTATTACCTACATCCATAGGGAGATATTCCTTCCCCTGATTAGTGTTTTATGGATATTTCTGGGCTTGAATTCCAGTTTCAGCATTAGCTAGCTGCGTGACATGATCACATTATTCATCTTTTCTGTGCCACATCTGTAACATGGATGAAATAAAATTGCCTTTTACATTACCTGTCCTGCAGAGTTGTGAGGAATGAGCTAATAAAGTGTAATATGTATAGAACACTGCCTGGGCCATGGTAAGTGTGTATAGTTTGAGTATTCCTTGTCCAAAATGCTTAGGACCAGCAGCGTATTTATATATCCGTAATGAATAATCTTGGGAATGGGCCCAAGTCTAAACACAAACATTGTTTAATGTTTCACATATTTGCAGAGCCTGAAAATAACTTCATACAGTTTTATACCTGCATTTTAACTTTGTCCTATCACATGAGTCAGGTATGGAATTTTCCACTCCTGATATCACGGTGGCACTCAAAAAGTTTCAGATTTTGGAATATTTCCAATTTTATGAGTAAGGGTATTCAACCTATATAATCACTTATTATTTCTTCCCAGTCATCTTCACTTTGCTTTCATATACTGGGGGTTGAACCCAGGGAGGGCTGTGTGTCCCATGCTGACCTCAAACTTATGATTTTCCTGCTTCAACTTTCCGAGTAGCTGAAATTACAGGTGTGCACCACCGTGCCCAGCTTGGTACTTATTTTGTGATAATTTGATTTTATTAAAAAGAGTAGTTGGCATAGTTTTATGAAACACTTTGTAATTCCAAGAAGACTTGGCTTCTCAGATGTGCAGAGATAATTTATCCCTAGCAAGCAGTGATGGCCTTGGGGAAGATCATGGACACATGTGCTGCGCTGAAAGAGCAGTATCTCCAGGCATTTGTTCTTGCAGGAAGTGCTGGGCCTGGGTTAGGAACAGATGCATTGTCTCTGTGATGTGGCCTTCACTGTGGCTGTCTGATCTGTTTATGGCTCCAGTAGCCAAGTGTCCTACTGAGCAGCCTCTTACAGGCAGTGCATCTTCAAGTGAAAGGGTACACTCAAAAATCTGATGTGCTGTTCAAGTCAGTCTGTCATCATATGCACATATTGGGAGGGCTAAAAATATTTCGTTACTTTAACTTTTGTGCTAAGCCTGTCTGTTAGTGCTTCATGTGATCTTTTTGTTTTATTATTTATTTATTTATTTATTTATTTATTTTTCCTCTCATTGAGTTTATTGGTACATTTTAGGTATACAGTACAGTTACAATCATCATTGGGATCTTGTACCTTTACATGACAGGTCTCGGTTCTCATTTTTTTCCCTTGTCCCTGCCCTCCCTTTACTCCCTCCTCCCCTTCCCATTTATAGACACTTTATTTCCATTTTTTCATTTTTGCATATTTTTGTCTTTTCCTTATTACCTTTCAATCTTTTTGTTGTATATAAATTATTTTATGCTTAGAGAATGGAGCTTTTGCAAGGACTTGCAGAATGACTCCTTACATGTGCCACATATCAGTATATGGTATAATTTTGCTCCATACAGCAAAAGAACTTCATGCAGTACTATTGCAAGGAGTAGAACAAGAACAACTTCTACAATGCAAAAAAGATGGCCTCAGAGTTGATCAGAGTGGTTCATGTCTGTAATTCCAGCACTCTGGGATGCTGAGGGAGGAGGATTGAAAATTTGTTCCCTTTCTGAGCAATTTAGTGACTTCATTGGACACTGTGTCAAAATAAAAAATTTTGAAAATGAGGGGCAGGGATTTAGCTCAGTGGTTCCACCACCTGCCTCAGAAGTGTATAGTCCCGAGTTAAATCCCTGGTACCAAAAATAAATAAAGACTAGGATGTCACTGTGTGAAGGCCTGTGTTCAATCCCCAGGACTTCCAAACAAAAAAGAAAGCCCCAGTTAGAAATTTGGATTAATTACCAAAAACCTAGACCAGAATTAAGCAGTAAATTTATTCTGCTTGGATAAAAATGGGCTTAGTGAAAGAAATTGGAGCCCAAGGGTACACTTCCACATAGTTAAAATACTAGTTTTATGAAGAGATTTTATTGTCTTTCTAATTTTGTTGTGTTAGCCACTGATCCCAAGAACCATACAGTGATGTTTGACACACTTAAGGACTGGTGTTGGGAATTGGAGCGGACCAAAGGCAATGTGAAGTACAAAGCAGTGAGTGTCAATGAAGGCTACAGAATCTGTGAGAGGTAAGCTTTCAGTGCTGGCCACATTCCACACAACTCACCCATTTGAAGTGTGTGTGTTTTAATATATGGACGGTTGTGCAGTCATCATCGCAGTCAATTTTAGAACATTTTCATTATCTCCAAAAGAAACTCCATACCCATTAACAATCACTCTACATTTCTCTGAACATTTTCCTTCCTTTCCTAAGATGTAAGCAACCACGAGTTTGTCTCTGTAGGTTTGCCTGTTCTGGACATTTTTTATAAATGAAATCATATCATATATGTGATTTTTTTTTTTTTTTTTTTTTTGGTAGTGGGGATTAAACTTGGGACCTTGTGCTTGCAAGGCAGGTGGCAGAACCATTGAGCTAAATCCCCGGCCCTGTATGTGGTGTTTTACCATTGGCTTCTTATACATGGTATAATGTTTTTGTAGTTCGTCCATGCTGTGGCATATTATCAGAATTTCATCCTTTTTAATTGACAAATAATATTTCATAATGTAGATATATGCCACATTTTATTTATTCATTCATTAGTTGATGGACATTTGAATTGTTTTTCCCTTTTGTCTCTTCTCATAAGGCTACCACAGATATCTGTGTACAAGTTTTTGTGTGGATACATGTTTATATTTCTCTTCAGTATAGTGTACTTCAGGAGTTGAATTGTCAGAACATATAGTAATTACGTATTTGACTTTTTGAGGGAACTGCCAGATTGCTTTCCAGTTAGATTGTACTGTTTTACGTTCCCACAGCAGTGTACGAGATTCCTTTCTTCACATCAACACTATCCTTTTTCTTTTTCTCGTGGTGCTAGGGTTAGAACCCAGGGCCTCGTGCTTCTAGGCGGGCATTCTACCACTGAGCTAGGCCCCCAGCTTCTCAGTACTAGCTTTAAAAAAAAATTCTTTAAAGGTCTCTTGAAATACTCAAAAGTGAATTTATACTTTTTGTCTTTTTTTTTTTTTTTTTTTTTTTTTCTCACGTCCTATGCTTTGTTAACAACTCTTTTAGTCTCAGGACTTTTTTTTTTTTTTTTTTTTTTGGTACCAAGGCTCGAACTTGGGTCTTTGCACTTGGAAGGCAGGTGTGGCACCACTGAGCTAAATCCCCGGCCCTTCTCATGACTAATTTTAATGGTTATCAACACCTGCCATCATGTTAATCTGTATTAGGTAGTTTTTGTTGTTTTCTGAGGCAGAGTCTCACTGTGTAGTCCTGGTTGGCTTCAAACTTTCATTTGTCTTGCCTCGGCTTTAGGAGTGCCAGGACCATAGGCGTGCACGACTGCACCCAGCAGGGATATTCCTTCTCATGGTATCAAAACTCTTACTCAACAGTGAGTCCGGGGTTGCAAAAGAGGATTTATTTTTTGCATCTGTCCATAAGTCTTAGTCCACAAGATAGACAAAAATAGCACTGTTGCATTGCTGTATCTCTAACCTAACTGTAAAACTTAGAGGCATTTCTGAATTTATAGTTTATGTTTTCCTTTCCTTTTATTGAACACTTCATTTATTCATTTAACAAAAATTGTTGAGTCCCTGTTGGTGCTGAGTGTCCTAGCCACTAGATACACAGTAGTAAACAGCGCTCTAGGACCTCTGTATCCTGTATCTCCTGGAGCATTCTTTCTAGTGGGAGGAAGGCAATGGTAAAATGAAGAAATGAAAGTAAATTAGTGGATTAAAAAGTAAGTGCTAAGGAGCTGGAGGTACAGTTCAGTGATAGAATGTGTGCATTGTGTGCAAAGTCCTGGGTTCAATCCTTGGCTCCAAAACAAAAACAAAAATGGCAACTTTCAGTTGGGCTGGGGTAGCTCAGTGGTGGAGTGTTTGCGTAGCAGGCGTGAAGCCCTGGGTTCCATCCATCCCCAGCATCACACACACATACACTCAGCGCTGTGGAGAAAAAGTCGGGCACAGGTATGGAGTGCTGGAAATGATATAAGGTTGGATAGGAAGGCCTGAGGAGTAGATGATCTTTGAGCCAGGCCTTGAAGGAAGTGAAGGACTGAGTTGGTTTGGGGGGGAGCAGGGGAAAGAGAGAGTAGTAGGAGGAGAGGGGCCCATTGTATGCTTTTGGAAGAATTTATCCTTTCTGATTCTGAGAAATGAGGGGGAGTTTGAGCAGAGAGGCAGGGAGTGATCTGACCTACATTTTTAAAGGGTGACTGCATAATCTCTTTTTAGAAACTTGAATCTTGTCACTTTGGAACATACTTCCTAGCAAATTGCGAACGGTTTGATAAAGTGTTTTGTGGAGCTTTCCATTTTTTTTTTTTTTTTTTCAGGCATGATCTTGCTAGGTAGCTCTGGCTGGCCTCAAACTCGCTGTGATCCACCTGCCTCAGCTTCCTGATTCTGGGATTACTCTTGTGTATCACCATGCCCAGCCAGTTTTTATTTTTTTAATTTTTTAGTACTGGGGATCGAACTTGGATCCTTGTGCTTGCGAGGTAGGCAGTGGAACCACTGAGCTAAATCCCCAGCCCCAGCCAGTTTTTATTTTGTTTGTTTGTTTTTTTGGTTTTTTGAGACAGGGTTTCACTGTGTAGTTCGGACTGCTCTGGAAGTCACTGTGTAGCCCAGGCTGGTCTCGAACTTGCAGCGATCCTCCTGCCTCAGCCTCCCGAGTGCTGGGATTACAGGTGCACACCACCACACCCAGCCTTAGCCAGTTTTTATTTTGATCAACCCCAAACACACCCCACACAGCATGAGCTCCACTGAGAGCTTTATTGTCAGACCTGTGTTGCTCGCTCTTATTCCTAGGTGAAAAGCTTGAAAAGGGGAAAGCTAGCTCTTAGAGCTCACAGAGTCCTGCTCCTACGAGATGTAATGTGAGGTTGCTACTTTGTAGGGCATCTCTGTTCCCAGAATTGGTTTTTTGCTGATGGTGGTTTTTGTTGTTGTTGTTGTTGTTGTTGCTTCAGACAGGGTCTCATTATTTCGTCCAGGCTGTCTTTGAACTCATGATCCTCATGCTTCAGCCTTCCACATTGCTGGGGCTATAGGTGTATACCACTGTGCTAACACCCAGAATTATTCCTTTAAATCTAGCTTATGTTGATTTGGGGCACTTACGTAGGTGTCAGCATGTAAAAAATATAATGCGTGATACAAAATACAATGAATGTTTACATTTAAAAAATTTATTATAGTAGCAGACACATTGCCATCCTGGCTTTGAACACACTTATGCCGTCATTTTTACCACTTGCTGCAGCAGTTGTGGAAATTCTTTTTTGTGAATATCTCTAGTTGTTCTGTCATGACTGCCTGGATGCCCTGAATGTATTCAAAATGTTTACTTTTGTGGTCATCTTTTATTTTAGGGAAGAACCAGAAGTTGCATGGTGCCAAGTCAGGTGAATAAGATGGATGAGGACATGCTAAAATGTTTTTATGAGCCTGCCTTTCCAGTGGGTGGTACTTGGCAGTAGCATTCACCACATTGTTGATCATGCCTGGTAAAGACAGTTATCCAGATTCTGATACTCAGAATACGCCATCTAGCACACAGGAATAGCTGTGCTTTGTTTCTCCCCTGGACCCCTCCAGTAGCTCCCTGTGTGGTCTTTGCCGAGCGCTCTGGTCCCATAGCATCCCATCCTGAGTGAGCCTCTCTATCTGCCTCTGGTCAGGGACTTCCCCCTGGTCTTAGAACAATACGTGTGCCTCCTGCTTGTCTAACTGTCACATCCCTACACCCCTGACCCACCTGCCAAGAGATCTTTCAAAGCACCCTTTGCTTTGAACTGCACACTGGGGAGTTAATTCCACTGCACCATCAGATCTCAGCCCAGTGACGCTTTCTTAGGGAGTCCCAGACTAGGTCAGGTTTCCTCGTGGTATCTGTCATTGCACTACGCATCTGTTATAGCACTTGGTGTGATTGCAAGTTTATTTTTGACTCCTTTTGGTTCATGTTTACTTCTGCAACCTATAGCGCTATGAAGTCAAGGACTAGACACTCTGCTTTTGCTTCATTATATCCTCAGTACCAAGCACTGTGCTCCATTTCTGAGAGGGCTTCAGTAAATAGGGGAAACTTAATGAAAAGTAACTTAATGAAAGCCCCACTAGGGAAGTGGACTCCTGTCATTTTGGTTAAGAATGAGAAACTTAATGTCTGCTTCACCTTCCCTAAGGTCAGAACTGGCTCTTCTAATGCTGCAGGTCTGTTACTTCTCGGTTTTCATTCTGTTGCTTTTATTCTACCTCCCCATAGAGCCGTAAAGTGTGTAGACCTCTGGCATATGTATAACCAGAGGGACTTATGCGTTGGCGCTAGCCAACATAACCTTGCTCCAGAGTTCCTCACCCTACGATTGATTGTACCTGAGTGGATCATTGACTTCCCCACTACCAAAGTTGTCCTTCACTGAGAAAGGCTGTTTAACTAAATTACTCTTTCCATTGGGGGAAGACTGAGTGCTTGTCTCCATTGGCAATCTCAACAGAGTCTGCATGGACTCCACCTGAGTAGACTGGGCGGGGGGCGGGGGGAACCCTCCCTGGTGTGGTGCTCTTGTCTGCCGAGGGATGGCTTGCATTCACTAATACAGAAAAAATTAACTGGTTAACTAGCATTGTAAAATATTCAACATGAATTTTTTAGAACAGTGAGGCCCGCCTCAGCATTATAGCATGAGCCACTGAGGAAGGAGCTGAGAATCTAGCTTAGACAGCTCCATGGGTGACTTCTCAAAAGGGAGCAAAAGGAGGCCATGTGTAGGTCAGTCTAGTGGTCTCCTGGTGATCCTTTTAGAGCTTTCAGTGACACAAACAGTCCTCTGGGTGCACATGCCATAGGTTCGCCACCAGTGGTAGCGCTCGCCACAATTTTAATGGGTTTCGGAATCACCTGGAGGTCTTGTTAAACGTGTGTGATTCACAGGTGAGCCAAAGCCTGAGAGTGTGTGCCAGTCCACACCCAGGTGCTGTGTCTGCGTACTTTGAGTAGCAGGATCTTCTAGAACAGTAGGTTTCATCTTGACTTCATTCCTTGAGAGCTTTTAAGTCTCTGATTTAATAGTTCTAGGGTGGAACGTGGACATTGGTAGTTTTTAAATCTTCCACTGTGATTTTGATGGGCAACCTGAATTTGGGAACCACTAATCTGTGAAGAGGCTTTTACTTCAGTAACTACACCTGCAGAAAGGGTACCTTCTGCCCACCCATTCAAACAGACATATATGAGTACATCAAGCACTCCAGGACTTCAGAAGCTACATATGCTGACAGTTAGATGATTCGAGGTTATCTTAGCCTTGACCAGTGTTCCCAAATCTGATTTTAAATAATAATTATGTGGGAACATTGTTCTTTTAAAATTAACCTTTAAAGTTTAATGTAAAATTTCAAGCATGATAGAAGAGGATGTGATCGTTTCCTTTTACTTACTATGCAGACTCAACAATTACAGTTTGTATCTAATCCTGTTGTCTCTAATTCCTCCGCCTCCCTCTCTCCTGTGGATTGAAGCGAGGGGGGTGGTTATGTGGTATTGAAGCCAGGGCCTTTACAGTGAGCTACATCCCAGGATTTTTTTATTTTGAGAAAGGATTTCACTAAGTTGCACAGGCTTGCTGGAACTTGTGACCTTTCTGTCTCCCCCTCCCAAGCCACTGGGATTATAAGGGTATGCCACTGTGCCTGGCTCCCTTGGATTATTTTGAAATAAATGCCAGAGCTCATCATATTACATGCATATTAAGTGTATATCTCTAAGAATTAAGAACTATTTTTATGCCGGGCATGGTGGCGCACGCCTGTAATCCCAGCACTTGGGAGATTGAGGCAGGAGGATCGCTGCAAGTTCGAGACCAGCCTGGGCTACATAGTGAGTTCCAGGTCAGTCTCAACGACATAGTGAGACCCTGTCTCAAAAAACAAACAAAAAAAAGAACTCTTTTTATAAATGTAACATAAAACCATTATCACCCATTTCAGATTTCATGTTAATTAATATCCAGTTTAGGTTCAAATTTTCCTTGCTGTTCTTTGTTTGTTTGTTTTGTTTTTGCCATGCTGGGGATCAAACCCAGGAGAATCCTGTGTTACTAAGCCACATCTCCAGCTTTGATTATAAACTTTAAGTTTCCATTTCACCTTTTAAACCTGTTTTGTTGTTGTTGATCAAAATTCAATGAGATTGATATTTTGTGATTGATGGATAGGTTTCTTAAACTGCTTAATCTCACCCCATCTTTGTTTATAATTGCTAAAGAAATCAAGCTATTTGTCTAATAGTTTCTTACAGTTTGGATTTGGATGATCACATCCTTCTCATGATATTTAATATGCTTTTCCATCCCCTATGGATTGATTAAAGGCCTGATCACATTGGAGTTCTAATCTCTTTAACTAGGAATGTTTTATGACCTGATAGCACACTTATATCAGATATGCAGCATGCATATAAATCCATGATTACTTTCCACGGCAGTGTAAACACCATCAGCATCTCATTTCCTATGAGGCTTTATTTCAAGCTCCTGGAAGAAGGGTGTTAACAGCTCCATAGTGATAGAACTTAGGCATGTCTCTTATTAACAGAAATCTGCATCTACTGACTCGAAGAGACTCTGTCCCACATATCTTTGATCTCTGCAACACTGAAATCTAACTTTCTCATGTTCTTCTTAACGACATTGTTCTTTTTAGAAACAATATTTCTTCTGGAAAAATTTCAGTCATAATGCCTGGGTTTGGGCCTTAGCTCCATTAAATGATTATTAATTATGTGACTGGAAGCTCTTTGGCAGTGTTGTGTCTGTTTCTTTATCTGGAGAATGGAAATTGTCATAGTACAACCTGAAAGGTTTATTGGAGGGTGAAATGAGAGCAGTGTCTGACACGCAGGAGAGTTTAAGTGTTTTTGGTTTGTTTGTTTGTTCATTTGTTTTTGAGACAAGGTTTCACTGTGTAGCCCAGGCTGTCCTCAAATGCATGGCAATCCTCCTGCCTCAGCCTCCTGAGTGCTAGGATTACAGGCATGAGCCACCAAGCCCAGCTAACAAGTTAAGTGTTTGTTGTTGCCCAAAAATTTGATAAAATATTTGGGCAGCAATCAGCATAATTGCTGGTTTTCATATTAGTATAACTGAAAGCAACACAGATGCTTATATTGTTACTACGTGACAAGAAAGGTCACTCACAATTTTGGAATTCATGTTCTTTTAAATATTACATTTTTCAGGGGCTGGGGATTTAGCTCAGTGGTTCTGCCGCCTATCTCGCAAGCGCAAGGTCCTGGTACCAAAAAATAAAACAAAACAACAATAAATATTACATTTTCCATTCCCTCATTTTATACCTAAGGTTATACAGAATTAGAGGCAGGGCCAGAGTTTTATTTTATTTTTTTACTTTCTTCTGATACCAGGAATCTAACTCAGAGTCTTGCACTTGCCAGTCAGATGTAGCACTACTGAGCTACATCCCTGGCCCAGGGCCAAGACTTTACCTCAGATTCATGACCAACTTGGCCAGAGTGCTTTACACCACACAGAATGACAGCTCATAAGAGCTCTTTCTTCAGAGAAGCATCCTGCTTAGTTTCCCTGTATTCAATAAGGTTGAGCTTTCCTATTTTGTGAATGAAGCATAGTACTAAAATCTGATGACATCTCTGTCTTCTAGGTTGCCAGCATTCTTTGTCGTCCCTACCCCTCTTCTGGAGGAGGATGTGCTGCGCTTTCAGGGCCATGGCATACCAGTAAGTGCGTCCAGAAGCCTGAAGAGGCTTGGGTTGTTCATTGTCCACCCTAACAGAATGATCCTATTAAAGCCCTTGGCTGTGGTGTGCAAGAGCTTTGTCCTTCGTCCAAGAGTGATCCAAAAATATTATAGGGACTCCCTAGAGGAGTCTCTCTGGGGCATGAGGCTCTCTGGGACAGTTTTAAAGTTTTCACAAATGTACTCAAATTTAGCAGAGACATTGAAAAGTGCTAAGAGTATTACAGATATGTCTGCTGTTGAAAGTAAGCTAGTTTAATACCTAAAATCACTTTGAACCTGAACTGACTACTTTAAAGGTAGTAGGATTAGAATTCTTTTGGCCAACACTGTTAAACTTGGTATAGGCTTAGTTGTATTTTCTCCCAGAAACAACATGAAGTGCTTCTTGGTTTTCATAGAATCGAATGGGATGGGAGCCATATTTAATGTGTCACTGATCAAAGAAAGCAAGACTCTGGCAATCACTCCCATTTCTAATTGGTGGCTGGAAGTTTCCCAGCCTGCAGGGAATTTAGTAAGGAACAAGAATTATAAATAAATGCTGTGCTTTGCATGTGGCTGGTTCCCCAAAAGGTCAAGCTTGGGAAGCAAGAGTACGTGCCCAGAAGCCTGTGTAGACTGGACAGGAAATGAGCAAGGCCCTTGCAGTGAACTAGAGACCCTCTGCCCAGGCTGGCAGCCTCTTGTCAGCGCCCACTGACATCTGGGAATGCGGCCGTGTTGCCAGGTTTCCTGATTTTTCAGGAGAAGCCAGAGATAGATTTTTGTGTGAGATTTTCTAATCAGTAAATATATGTGAGTGATTTAGATGTTTAAAAAAAGTATCTTTGGGCCAGAGTTAAATCATTTCCCACCATTTTATAGCAGCAGTTAGCAAACTTTGCACTCTCAGGACTCTTGCCGCTCTTTTCCATCTTAAAAATTATTGATGTTCTCAGAGTTTTTTATTTCTGTGGGTTGTACCTATTGATATATCTCATATTAAGAAATCAAATTGAAAATTCTTAAAAAATTTAAATAACATTCATGTCAGCATAAATAACATATTTCTATAGTAAAATAACATAGTTTTACATTTTTGAAATAGAAAACAACTGGTTTCCTATATCTGATTCTTTTTTCTTTTTTTATAACGGGGATTGAACTCTTGTCCTTGTGCTTGCAAGGCAGGTGGTAGAACCACTGAGCTAAATCCCTGGCCCTATGTCTGATTCTTTTGTTCAGTTTGTTGTAGTGTCTTTGGGTTTGGTTGAAGTATGTGAAGAGAAAAATCCAGCTATGTATTTGGGAAAGAAAGGTATATTCTGTAGCCTTATTAATTGAGAATATTGTTCTTTCATGGCACATAAAAAATTGCTAAGTGATGGTTTCATAAAGGTTAGCTGCAGAAAGGAATCTGAAAACATAAGGAACTTCTTTCTCTTATAATTCACTGGTGTGGGCCGAGGATTTAGCTCAGACACAAGGTCCTGAGTTCAATCCCTGGTACAAAACAAAACAAAAACCCTCACTGCTGTAAGGCCAGGGATGTAGCTAAGTGGCACCACGCCTGCCTTGCAGACACAAAGTCCTATGTTCAATCCCCAATACCAAAAACAAGAACAACAAGAAATCAGTGGTGTATCTCTTTACTTTGAACATATTTTAAAATGTGCATGATTTTACTGGGCATGGTGGTCCCTCTTATTTTTTGTTTATTTTTGTTTTTAGACAGGATCTCGCAGTGTGGCCCAGGCTGGCCTTGAACTTGCAGTGATCCCCCTTCCCCAGCCTCCTGAGTGCTGAGATTACAGGATTGTATTCACCACACCTGGCTGGTGATCCACTCTTATAATCCCAGCTGCTGGGGAAGCTGAGGCAGGAGGGTTGCAGGTTCCAGACCAGTTTGAATAATTTATCGAGGTCCTGTCTCAAAGGGGTATAGTTCAGTACAAAGTCCTGGGTTTAATCCTCAGTATAGGGGTATGAGGAATGCATTGGCGACTTGAAAAATATGTTTAGATTATATAGATCTTCTGAATGTTAACATGTTTCAATATATAAGATCAAAAATCATATTAATATCTCATCAGAAGTCTTGAAATAGCTAAAGTATACATACTAGTTTTCCACACTTATATTTTTTGCTTGAAAGCTCAGTGTATTATCACTATCAGCAATTTATCAGTTGTTTTCTGTACTTTTTTTTTTTGGTTTTTTGAGACAGGGTCTCACTATGTAGTTGAGACTGACCTGGAACTCACTGTGTAGTGCAGGCTGGTCTCGAACTCACAAGCGATCCTCCTGCCTCAGCCTCCCAAGTGCTGGGATTATAGGCGTGCACCACCACGCCTGGCGTATCAGTTGTTTTCTCTGTAAAGTGATGGATTTACTCTTCTTCTTTTTTAGAATGAATGCCAGATACCAAAGTCTGAATATCAGAAGTTTGCCTGTCAATTATTCAGTTCCACAAAAAAGGCAACTAGTCAGTTATACTAGGATCTATTCTTGAGGCAAGCTTTGTACTTTGGTGCTTACTTCTGACACCACCTCACAGAATATTAGAGACATGTAATGGTCAAGATAATACAATTAATTGTGGGATTTTTTTTATTGTTTTATTTTTTTGGTACCAGGGGTCAAACTTGGGACCTTGTGCTTGTGAGGCAGGTGGTGGCACCACTGAGCTAAATCCTAGGCCCCAATTAATCATCTTTAACCTTTATTAAGGACACTCTCAAGTGAATCAGATTTTCTTCCTTCTGGTAGTGACGTAGCACAGTGATGACCAGAACAGTTGTGGCCTCACCTTGATTGGCTGTAAGTCACCAGCAGTTCTTACCCATCACTGCTTTTCCTCCACCACTGCAGATGTCAGTGAAGTGGAAAAGACAGACTGTTTGTCAGTATTACCGTGAAAGTAGTTGCAGCCTCCCAGACCACCTGAAAGGGTCTTGGGGCCTCCCAGGCAGTGTATACTACGCTTTGAAAGTCAGGGCTTTAGGGAAATGAAGATGAGGATCTCTGTCCTTCAGCCCTTCATACCGCAATCTGGGAAAGAGGCCTCGCCCTGCAGCAAGAAACAAGGTGCACTGTCCACACAGGTGGGCATGGGCTGATTCTCCATTGCCGTGGCCTTTGTGCTTAGGTACACTGCATTCTACCTAGGCCTTGGAGCTGAGAAGTAGAAAGTATTCTCGGAAGACCAGCGTCATTTTGATAGGAACTGTGGGAAGGTGATCTTACTTCATTCATCTGCCTTCCTTCTATGCTCTGAAAGTCGTTAGTGGAATTTGCATAAATGGACAGCTGAAAGAAATTACTCAGGTTGGGATTTACATATCTACCCAGGGAACAGAGCTCTTAATTTGTGTCTTAAGTTATGCTCTTAAGTTCTGTCACTGTTTTCTTGTTGCAGTGCTAGGGATCAAACCCAGGCCTCATGTTTGCTAAGCAAGCACTCTACCCCTGAGCTAGTACCCCGGCCCAGCTCACCGTGCATGCTTCGTCTCTACCCCCGCCAAACATGTACACAGTGTAAGATTTCCACTTGACTAAGATCATCAGAAAGGTCTTAGACAAATTTAAAACATCTGTATTAATGTTCATAATCCCAGCCCTCTGGGAAGCTAAGCAAGAGGATCACAGCCTGGACAACTTAGTGACTAGATGAGACTATCCCCAGATAATTATGAGGGCTAGGATGTAACACATCATGAAAGCCCTAGTGCCTAGTACTGAAGAAGAAAAAGGCAATTTATTTTATATTTGATGAAATTGTGTTTGTTTGTTTGTTTTGTTTGTAACAGAGTCTCATCATGTATTTCAAGCAGGCTTCGAACTCACTGTGTAGCCCAAGCTGGCCTCGAACCTGTGGCAGTCTTCCTGCCTCTGCCTCCTGAGTGTACCCCACACCTGGCAAAATTATACTATCTTAACCTAGATAACATAGATCTTTCAAATGTGCAAACATACTGCTATATAACCGCCTGTTTTGTGTTTTGTTTGAGGTAGGTTTTCTCGAGCCGGGCACTCCTGATATTTAGGACTGAAAAAGTCTTTGTTTTGGGGACCATTGCTGCCAGTAACATCCTTTAAGTTGTGGTAACAAAAACTATGTCTTAGTATTGCCACGTGTCCCCAAGGGGCAGAACGCAGGCAAACCTACTGTAGGCGCTTCCTGGTTAGCATAGGTCTCCTAAGACTCAAGCAGATTTAGAGGAAAAATGACAGCTAACTAGCATAAATGTGCCTAACCGCTCTTTGGCTCGTCCTTGCTCCTGTCTCTCATTCCTACCGAACCTTCTCCTATTTACACTTCATTCTCCACGCTTTTGTTGCTCTTGTTGCACAGATGAGAAAATTAAGCCAGATTTTAAGAAGTTTGTAAAAATACAAAACAATGCCAGTTTTGCGGATTGTTTTGGGTGTAGAAAATGTTATTTTTATCGGTGTGCAAGTGGTTCATTGTTTTAAAATGAGTTAATATTCTTAAAGATTCTCTGTTTTAATTTCTAGTGTTGCAAACATCAGTAACTATAACCCACGTAAACACGAGCTCTCGGGGGTCCTCATTAGTTTTTAACATCGTGAAGGGTGTTGAAAACGCTGATCTTTAAGATTATATATATATATTTTTCCCTACATTCTAGCATGTAAGCTCTCAGATCAGCAGTAGCAGTTAAAATTCACTTGAGCATAAGTGAGAAATACAAAATAAGCAAAGGAAAGTGAGAGCATAGGGGAGTAGTAAGACTGAAGAGCTAGTTTGGGCCTAGATTGTGAAGGGCCTGCACTCCATTCCTAAGTTTTTTCCTTGTGATACAATACAGATAGCCTCAAATTCACATAGTGTCACATAGCATATTCACACTGTCACGCAGCCATTAGCGTTATCTGTTTCCAGCCGGAGTGAGAAAGGCCGAGCTGTGGCAGTGTTCTGGATGTAGACAGTGTTTCCTGAGCCCCATGCTTTCTACTCTGCCTTTTCACCTCTGCTCTTCCTGTCTGCCTTTGCTTCTCCTCTGCAGTAAGGACTGCATAATTTCTCAGTTCAGGCAGATGGAGTTTAGTCTCTTTGTCCTTCTGCTGAGTATTCATCCTTTTTTGCTCTGGGGCTAACGAACATTGCTATAGGTTACTCAGACTATAGCAAACTGGATTTAACGGAATCCATGAAAACTGAATTGTTTCCTCAGCTCATCTGGGCCCTTGTCCTGCTCATTTAACCTCGTTGGTTTCTAACATCATTCTTCACTGTGAACATGTTTTCTTTTTTGAGACTGAGTCTTACTGTGTAGTTCAGACTGACCTTGAACTTACTGTGCAGCCCAGGCTGGCCTTGAACTCGGAGCAATTCTCCTGCCTCAGCCTGCTTGGTGCTAGGATTACAGCCCTGTGCCCTCACACCCTGCTTATAAAATCATTTCTTATTTGTGATCTTTCAACCACCTTTCTCATACTTCTGTGGGATCCAGGATTTAACAGAACTCTCTCAGCTTCCTTCTGGCCTCTTATTGTTTCTCTGTGTGTTCTTGCTTCCTTTGTGGTGAACCTGAACCTCTGCCTGTGTCTGGATTGCTTTGTCTGGAGCCTGCTTGCGTCAGCCTTCCCTCTTCCGTGGTTATGGTTCTGAGGTGTGTTCTCTCTAAACACATCCTTAGGACTTCCCTAACCTGGAGAAGCCATTTCTTAACAGTCAGATTACTGTCCTGTTCTCCTGCCCTACACTGCTAAACGTTTGTAAAAACCTATGCTTCTTTTCTCTACACATTTCTTCTTTTTCCTTTTTTGAGATGCCAAGGATCAGACCTGTGGCCTCACACTAAGCACATGCTGTGCTTCTGACTGCATCCCCAGCCCCTCTCGTGTTGCAGCAGGACTTCTGCTGCCCTACTCAGCAGACATTGCCCTGCTAAACTGTGGCAGCCCCAGTTCTCTGCAGGGTGTGACACAGTTATTTTATCTCACTTTTAAATCCCCGTGCTGGCTTTGGAAACACTAGTGTCTTGGTCTTCTTACTGCCTTCGTTTCCTTCTTACACTAATTTCTAGCCTCTAATTATAGATATTCCCCCTAAAATCTGTCTTTGACTCTATTGATACAGACACCTTAAAATGCGCCAAAAAATAAGTAATCTCCCCATTCAAAAATGCAATTGCTGGGCTGAGGATTGAGCTCAATGGTGCCATCTCCTGCCTTGCAAACGCAAAGTCCTGAATTCAATCACCAGTACCAAAAAAATGCAGTTGCTGGGAGTGGTGGCACATTCCCATAATCCCAGCATGTGGAGGCTGAGGCAGGATGATCGTGAGTTTGAGGCCAATTTGGGCTACCTAGTCAGTTCAAGGCCAGTCTGTGCTGTATGTATAACAGGATCTTGTCTCAAAAAAAATTTTAAGTGACTATTTATTGTCGGCTGTTAGGTAGTTTATACTAAGGACTCTGGGGCCCTTTCCCAAAGAGAAATTGATGTATTGAAACAGTAGCTAAAGACTTTTTGCTAAATTCTTGTGAGAATCCTTTCTCTGACCAGGAATTTTGCTTGTTTCGTTTTTTTGTTTGTTTGTTTTTGTTGTTGTTGTTTTAGTTTCCACAAATATATTAAAATTGACATGTTTAATCTTCTCTTTGATGAGCATCCATCCAGCTGTCTTTGTAAGGGTAAGCTGTATGCTCACTGATGCCACAAAGTCCTTAAAAGGTTCAAGATCATAAATTTTACATTGTTCAGGCTGACCTTGAAGTCGGGTTCAAGTCATTTTTCTCATTTTCCTTTTGGTGGTACTGTGGATTAAAGGTAAAGCCTTTGCACTGAGCTACATCTCCAGCCATTTTATTTGATTATTTTTTGTGTGATACTTAGGGTTGAACCCAGGGCATTTATACTGAGCCATGCCCAGCTGGGTTTCTATTTACTGTTTCAAATAAAGAATAGCAAGGAAGTTAGTTGCCCTTCATTGTCTCAGATGAGATGAGGCATTTCTGATTAGAAGTTATCATTTTACACATTTCCCACCTAGTATATAGGATATGATTGGATATCAGTAAGGGCCTAGCCAGGCATGGTGGTGCACACTTCTAATCCCAGCACTCAGAGGCTGAGGCAGGAGGATCACTGTGAGTTTGAGGCCAGCCTGGGCTACATAGTGAGTTCAAAGACAGCCTGAATGACATAGCAGGATCCTGTCTGAAAACCGACAAGCAACAAAAAGCAACAACAACAACCAAGAAAGGCCTATCATTTTTGTCCCAGGAGGGGAGATAAAATGGATGAAGAATCTTTAATTTCTTTGCCATCCAGTCATGGCTCAGAGTGTCCCCTTCCATATCCAGGTGAGCTGCACCACCTGGGGACATCCCTGCTTGAGCACTTGAAATAGTGCCACCTTTGTTAGAGGTTTCCACAAATTGCTTAGCCTGATGCAGACAAGGGAACAGGAGAACAGCAAAGGGCCCTTCTGCCTCAAATGAACCTTAAAGTTCCAGAGGGGAGTTGTTCTTTTTGGAAGCTCTGTGCTCTCTGTTCTCTCTCTCCTCTTTGGCTCATCTGTTCTGTTGTTTTGGGTTTTTTTGGTTTTTTTTTTTTTGGGTGCCGGGGATTGAACTCAGGTCCCTGTGTTTGCAAGGCAGGCAGTGGAACCACTGAGCTAAATCCCTGGCCTGGCTCATCTGTTCTGTATTAGCTGGCCATCCACTCTCATATCCAGAGTGCCCCTCCTGCCCTCCTGTTCTACCTCTTCAACCTCACATCAGGGGGCCCTTGAATCTCTCCACATGGATGCTCAAGTAGCACCAGAAACCCAACATACCCAGTGCTGATTCTGTCCTGTTCCCTACAGTCTCCAAAGTCATTCTTCCTGTCTTCTGCCTGTGATGCAGATGCGTTGCTGTGCTGCTCTCTGACTCTCTGCCCAGGCTGCTGCTAGCATATCCATTGTGAAATTTACACATGGCAAGCAGATGCCAAAAAGGTGCCTCCTCAGGAAGCTGAAGGATGGAAGGTTTACCTCTGAATCAGGGACCGTGGCTTGGTCAGCAGAGCAAAGACTGAATGTTAACCCACTCTAGAACCCTTAGCAAATCCTTTATGCAGGACACCGAAGCCACAGCCATTACTTTCTTATCCAGCCAGCTCTTCCCTCTCCTCCATTCTAGGCTCCACTGGCAGTTTACCTTGCCCTCAAGGAATAAGTTACCTCTCTTTGAACCTGCAGAGTGAATGAAAGCTCCCATAGTATCTACAAAAAAGCTGACCAATGATGAATGTAACTGTACTGTATACCTAAAATGTACCAATGAGAAGAAGAAGAAAAAAAAAGCTGAAACACCTTAGCCTGTCATTCATGGACACTTTAAGATGTCTGCATCCTTTGCCTTCACTTGGTTGTTTCTTTTCTTTTTGTTTTTTTTTAATTTTATTGAGTTTATTGGTACATTTTAGGGATACAGTACAGTTACATTCATTGTTGGGATCATGTACCTCTACATGGCAAGTCTTGATTCTCATTTTTTCCCCTTACCTCTGCCCTCCCTTCACCCCCTCCTCCCCTTCCCATCTACAAACACTTTATTTTCATCTTTTCATTCTCTCACATTTTTTTATTTTCCCTTTTTGTTCTTCCCCTACCCATCACACCTTCCCTACACTTGGTTGTTTCTTGAAATCCTGTGTACCACATTGTGCCTTCTGATATATTTTTAGGTAGAATAGCATCATCTTTATGCCCTTTAACAACCTACTGCAATGCTTTCTATGTGTGAGTCTGGCATTTATCCCATTCTTCCTGGTGTGGGCTTTCTCTGAGGATGGGAGTTGCCCCTTGGTTGCCATCTAGTAGAGCAGAACTGTGAGAGTCAGACTGCAGCTACTTGGGGAAGTCCTCTGGGCTCTTTGAGCCTCATTTACTTGTGTAAATGGGAATATTACTCGTTACCTATCACAGAGAGTGACTTGAGAATTAATGAGTTAATTCACACCTGACATGTGAGCTGTATGCCAGTAATCACTGATGTCCTAATAAAAATAATAATGTTGTTATGATCAGGTAAATTATCAGCACTAAAGCCAAGTCAAATGTGTATGTTGGGCTGGGGATTTAGCTCAGTGGCCCCATGCCTGCCTTGCAAGTGCAAAGTCTTGAATTCAGTCCCTGTTACCAGAAGAAAAAAAAAAAAGGTGTATGTTAAACCATAAAAAAGTCTGACTCTGACTACCTACTACCTAGTCCTGTGTTTGTTTTTTAAGACTGAATCATACTCTTCCATGAAAAAGGATAAACTTGAGTTATTTGTAGGAAAGTGGTTGCACCTTGAGACCGTAATGTTAAGTAAATCAGAAACACAAGCTTAAATAGCACATGGTTTCTCCTATATGAAAAATTCAATTTATAAAGTGCCAAATAAAAACAGATAAGAGGAAAAAAAGTTATTGTAATCCAGAATGGAAAATGTATCTAAAAGTGTGACTTGATTTAGTACATTGTCTTTATTTAGTATTTTGTCTTTATATATTTAGTATATTGTCTTTGATTTAGTATATCGTCTTATGTGTTTTATATGTTTTTTTGGCCTAATATTCTGGTTGTTAATCTGTGTATATGACAGTTAACTTTCTAAAGACCTATAAGTTAAATAAATGAATCTGATGCTGAGAAAATAAAAAGGTGGTGGAAAGAAGGCATAAAAACAGAATTGAGATGTGTTATGTACACATACCAGTTCTCTACAATGAATGTAATGATGTAATCATTGTGTACTGTGAACTAATTGTGTAATAATACAATTTTTAAAAAACCACTTAATCAGTCTTTTTTTTATTAAGTAAGTCCTCCCAGGCTTAATAAAGCTGAACATATATAGCCATTTCATATTGAAGTTATGAATTTCCCTGCCTGTACTTGAATGCTAAGATTATCTGCTCTGTGAGTTGTGAATATTCCATGTAGCAAATGTTTTTTCCTCTCCAGATGTGGTGTTGGTCCTGCCACAATGGAAGTGCTCTTTTGAAAATGTCAGCACTGCCCAGAGAACAAGATGATGGCATTCTGCAGATGCAGAAGAACTTCTTGGATGGGTCAGTACTCATCCTACAATTTGTTACATAGTTCAGTTATTTTACCAGAAAGCAGGAACAGCTCTTAGTTGTGTCTTATTTCTTTTTGAGTTTCTAATTTTTGAGACAGGGTCTCACTTTGTAGTCTTGAACTTGGGCTCTTCCTGCCTGAGGCTCCTGAGTGCTATGATTGCAGGCATGTGCCGCACCTGCCTGGTGTGTACATTTTTGTTTACCAGCTGTTTCCTTAGTGCTAGAGGAGTGCAACATACACCATTTATTTTTAATTGCTTTGATGAGACAATAAAACACAAAAACTACTTTTTTTTTTTTTTTTTTTTTTTTTTTGGCATTAAAGATTGAACTTAGGACCTTGCACTGGCAAGGCAGACAGTGGAACCACTGAGCTAAATCCCTGGTCCAAAACTGTACTGTTTTCGGAGATACATGCTGAAGTATTTAGGGGGCAGTAGTATGGTATCTGTAATACTAACTATTGTCAAATCTAGGCCATAATGTACATCAATGTAGTGTTCTACTTTTCTACATGTTGGAACTGTTTCAAAGTAAAATTTAAAAATGCAAATGAGTAAATGCACCAAAAGGGGTAAGTTGTGTTGGCCCCAGTCATAGCTCTAGTACCTTAATAACCGTGGGCTGAGCAGTTCCACTCTGACCTCCATTCCCATACCTGTCAACTAGGGACAGCAGTCCTGCAGCAGTGACCTCACTGGTGTGGACTGAATGGCCCTAGGCCGGAGTGGAGGAAGTTGAGGGGTGATACCTGCAGAGCTCCATCACAAAGTGTATTATGTAGTAAGTGCTCATGGAAAATAAGCTATTTTAAATTCACATTTGCTCTTTTAATTTCATGTTACTTTTTGATACCTAGAATTTACAAGACCATCCACAGGCCACCCTATGAAAATGTCAAAACTGAAGACTTATCAAGCAACTTCCTATCCCTGCAGGAAATCCAGACTGCATATTCTAAATTTAAACAGTTGTTTCTGATAGGTGAGCAGAATGCTGAGCAAAACCTTTCTGTCAATCGGGGAAAGACATGGGCCAGGTGACCGTTAGTGCCTTTTCCCCCGGGTTGGTGGTGGGCAGGGGCTCACAGCCTCGAAGCTCCCTGTTGTGTAGTGGAAGGCAGTGCCATGAGGCAGCTAGCATCTGCACAGGGCCCCTCGTCCCTCTGCAGGCTTTTCACTGTGGCCTCCTTATCGGGGCAGTGATCGCACAGCCACCCTCTTCTCCTTTCCCAGCATTCCAGGCTGCCCACTGCTGAGCATTTTGGCATCTTATTGCTTTGGGCCGTGCAGTACCTATAGTCACTGACTTGCATACTAATTTATAAAGTGAATGATTTATCTTCCTTTCTTGGTGTGCTTTTTCCCCAAAGTGGAAATGACTGAATTTTTTTCTGACTGGGAATGTCCCATTTGTTATGGTGAAAAGGAATTGAATTAATCAGAACTTTACAAAGTAGAAGATGAAATACGTCTGTTCCAGCACCCCCACTCTCATTTCCCTCCCTCACTGCGTACTAGTCCTCTAGGACTGGCTCATTTGGGTCATGCTCAGTTGCGTATTGATTCTCTTCATTCTTGAGTCTTTGCTTGCTTTCTTTCCTTTTTTTTTTTTTTTTTTTTTTTTTTTTTTTTTTTTTCTTTTTTTTTTTTTTTTTTTTTTTTGTCTTTTTGAGACAGACTTTTACTTTGTAATTTAGGCTGGACTCAAATTCTAAGCGATCCTCTTGCCTCAGCCTCCTGAGTGCTGGGATTACAGGCATGCACCACCATACTGGTCTGAATCTTTGCTTTCTGAGTTTTGTCATGCTTTTGAGAGAAATTCTTAATGTTTCTTTCTGGCACCAGGGATGGAACTCAGAACCTTGCACTTGCCAGGCAGGTGTAGCACCACTGAGCCACATCTCCAACCTATTCTTAACTATTCAAGATCAAATTTGCACTGTGCATGTGGTAGACATTGTCATAAAGACAAGCATGTCACACAAAGCTCATCCTCTTGAGGAGAAACAAGCACGTGCCTCGAACTAAGGCACACGTGCTGTGATGTGGTATACAATAGATTCATTTGGAAGTGAGGGCCTGGAAGAAGGATCTTGTTACTATTTGATTCAGTACTACAATTCTACAGTTTCTTTACCTCCCCCCTTCAGTTTCATTTTAATTGCCCAGGAACATCTTCCTTTTATTGATTCAAGTTTATATCTTTTAAATGTATAGTATTATATTTCTGTAAAATTCAGGGTTCTCTGTCTTATAAGATGTGTAAGGGGATGTCTTGGCATGGTGTGCAAGTTACATGAACTTGTGTGTTTAAGATTCTAACAAGTCGAATCTCATTTAGACTTTGGTGGTAAGATGTATCTGTTGCATTTTTCCACTTCTGTAAGTAGTAGCCTTGTTGTCAACTATTTCTGCCTAACATATGTTGCTGTCTTTGTTGAATTACAGGATAGGCCATGGCTTTGTATATGTGCTGAAGACATTTCTTACTTTAGCAATGAACATCTCTTTTTGAGCACCACACCCTATAAAGCCTACTATTCAGAAACCTTTCAGCTGAGGTTTTGAAATGCCTTTTATTTAAAGTGGAGTCTTGTTTTGTTTTTTTGTTTGTTTGTTTTTTTGAGACAGGGTCTCACTATATAGTTGAGACTGACCTGGAACTCACTATGTAGCCCAGGCTGGTCTTGAACTCACAGCGATCTTCCTGCCTCAGCCTCTGAAGTGCTGGGATTACAGGTATGCACCACCATGCCCGGCTTAAAGTGGAGTCTTAAAGATTGAGTCTAGGACCACTGATCAGAGCAGGACAGGTATTTTGTGGCAGGCGTGTGAACAATGACCTGATATCTTTCTTCTTTTTTCTTTTTTCAGATAACAGTACTGAATTTTGGGACACAGATATAAAATGGTTTTCTCTCTTGGAAAGTAGCAGCTGGCTTGACATAATCAGGTATCGAAACCATTGTTTTGCTCATCAGTTGTACAGTTGTCTGATTCAGAGTAGTAGTTAACTATTTAACATTTCACATTTAAATATTTGATTACATATTCTATGTAGGGCTTTATAGGATTTCACATATGATACTTTTTCTTTGCACATTTGATAGATTTACCAATATACTTCCTGCTTATGAGGAAGTACACTCTATAAACAAAACACGAAAGCCTACAGGAAAGAGCATGACAATCAAAAATTATAATTGAGGCAGCCATGCTGGTCTCCAAGAGGAAACTGGGAAATAAGAATGGACAGCAAACTGGCTTTTCACTAAATACCTTTTCTTCTGTGTAAATTTCTTATTTAATAGTATTGGGGCATACTAAGGATTGAACCTAGGGCCTTGTGCTTAATTTTTTAAAAATCATGGCTAATGTTAATTAGCCATTTTTGGTTTGGGAGTTAGATTGAGAGTATCAGAGAATAGTTATTACCTTTCCTGATTGACATATTGAAATGCACTGTGTATTGCCATTAACTAGGGCTGTGACAAAGGAAGATGCGAAACAGAAGTGACGATTGAGCGTGAGAGAATAGTTCCAAGAGTGGGCTCTATCTGAGAGGACTGTTCCTGTCCCCTCACATGGTGTTGTCTCTCAGTTCTGGATGACTGTTGAGAGACACATTCAACACCTAGGCTTTCTGTAGGCTGCCAGGTATCCCAAATTTCACTTTATAGTTGTCAACAGTGGTAAATATTGTAAAAGAAAAGGCGTGTGCACACACACACACACACAATTGTACTTATCCATTAATTTGTCAGTGAACTCTTCGGTTGTCCCCATATGTTGGCTGGCTGTTGTGAACAGTACTTGAGTTAACATAGAAAGACAGGCATCTGAGATACTCATTTGATCCCTTTGGACAAACTGTGTACCCAGAATCAGTTTGGTTTTTTTTTTTGGTTTTTTTTGGCACCGGGGATTGAACTCCGGTCCTTTTGCTTGTGAGGCAGGCGGTAGAACCTCTGAGCTAAATCCCCGGCTCAGGATCAGCTTCTAATAGGCAGATGAGTATCTTGGTAAGTGAATAACATAGGTGGTAATTATTTTCTTTTCTGGGTGATTTTTGCATTAAAAAATTAGAAAACTGAAGAACAATTCAGACTACCTTTAAACTACTCAGTTTGTGGTACCAAGCTCAAGAACTAATGCTTCTGTTTCTTTTCTCTTTCTTATTTAGACGTTGTCTGAAAAAAGCAATAGAGATTACAGAATGCCTGGAAGCACAAAATATGAACATTCTTCTTTTAGGTAATATATATAAAGCAAAAACGGTGGTTTCCGTTTCCTTTCACTTGAGATTCATTCTTTTGTATATGTGGCTTATTGGTCTGAATTGTCTCATAAGGGGAGCCAAACTAGTGTAGAAATTGCTCCCCATTTTTTCCTTCTTAACCTTAGAAACGCTTGCCTTGGATTTTTAGTGTTATAGCTAAAATAAAAATCTTTCATTTGGAGCGTGGTGAGCCTGTTCACAGCCCAAGAAAAAATTGTTTGGTTACCAAGGCTCGCATTTTTTAATGTTTTGATTTTTGTTTATTAACCAACTAGATTAAAATTGCAATGTTTTGGTAGTCCCTTTTACTTAAAGAGACTAGTGGGTGATTTAATTATTTATATCTGTTTGGCAACTTTGTGCAGCTGTCAGAGAAACTTGGTGGTCTTTGATTTCCTTTTCCTCTGTGGGCTTAATTTGCTATGTAGTAGGGCAATCACATGAATATTCAGAATGTGTAAAGCAAGTGTAAATCAGCTTGTCACTGTAACTCGTTAAACATGAGCTAAAATATTACTTGCTTTTTAGTTTAGTATAGGTTTATTGGTTGTTTGTTCTTTTTTGGTGGTGCCAGGAATCGAATTCAGGACCTTGCGCTCGCAAGGCAGGTGCAGCAGCACTGAGCTAAATCCCTGGCCCATAGTGTAGGTTTCTCTTTTAAGGGAAGGTCTTAACTGTGCTGCCCAGGTTGGGTCTAATGCTCCTTCTTCATCAACTCCCAGAGTAACTTGGACCATAGGCTTGTGCCACTATGCTCAGCTTGCTTTTTAGACTATTTTGTTTCTTATAGCCTCATATTATAAATTAAGCAAACTGCTTATACACCCAAGCTTTTATCATTCCTCTCATGCTGCCCTCGACTGTTGAAACTTAGTCTCTAAGAGCAAACTGGAAACTATCTCCAGCAGCTTCTGGACCACCCACTGTTACATAGCAAGGGATATAGGGTTGGGGATTTAGTTCAGTGGTGCTGCCGCCTGCCTCGCAAGCCCAAGGTCCTGTGTTTGATCCCGGTCCCCCCGCCCCACAAAAGAGTGTGATACACTCTGTCTGCCTTCTAGAAGTTTGCAGCCCAATGGGAGATTTGCCCTAAGAGTATTATTTATAATGACCTCAAAAGGTAGAAGGATGAATAATAGAGATCTGAAAGATGAAAGGACCCAGGGCCAGACTGCAGTAATCAGAGCTGCATAAAATGAAGTCTGGGTCTTTGGCTGATGAAGTGAGATGTCCCTCATTCCTTGATGGACTTCTGCATTGTCTCTCCTGAGATCTCACTTTCCAGTCCCTCTTTCTGTCACCCAGAGGTAAACTATAACACCCATCAGGCTCAAGAAAGAAAATTCCCCTAAAAATGAAACTTTTTTTTGGTACTAAGGGACCTTGCTTTGCAAGGCAGGTGGCAGAACCACTGAGCTACATCCCCGGCCCCTAAACCTGTTTTGAAAACTGACAACAGTAGAAGAGAAATATAAAAATCTGTTCCTATGAAATTTGTGTTTCCCCATAGGTCAAGATGAAAGAGTTCTAAGGCTCATTCTTAAGTGTCACTAACCCTAATAATACTAGCATTATGCTACTTGGGGACATTTTTAAAAAGCAACTTGAGGGCCATGGAATTAGCTCTGGCACCACACCTGCCTCAAAAACCCAAAGTCCTGAGTTCCATCTCCAGTACTGGGACGAAAAAAAAAGCAACTTGAGTTGCCTTTTTCTGTCTGTCTGTCTGTCTTTCATAAAAAGAAAATAATAGGAAACATAGATCCCTGGCTTTTAGGGTCTTAAAACTAAGACGAATGCATGGCTGTAGGTGTGTTTTTATGTGCTGTAAATCATGAATGTTAAGAGGTTTGCCAATGGACTTTTTATCATTTGGGTTTTATAAGTGCATTCCAGATGGGCACTGGAAATGGGCAAGGACAAATTCTCCTCTACACTAGGTGGGGAGGAACAAGTGCCTCTTATTCTTACACAGAAAAGGAAAGAGCCCTGGGGCCAAGAATAAAATCACTTTGGCACAGTTCAGAAACAGGAAACTTTCTGCAAAGCAGAATTAGCACAGGACTTGGGTATGGAGCAAAGTAGCACTGGGGTGAGTGAAAGCAGCTGAGGCTTTGGTCCTAGGAGGAACCAGCTATGGACTCAGTCTTCAGCCTGGCGGGTCAGCACCGTGTGGGTGAGTCCAGTGTTGTTGTGTGGCACCGATGGATGCCCGTCTGCTGAAAGCAGGTTTTCGCTACATTTATTCAGTGAGCAAAGCTGTAGTTAGCAGATTGTATACCAAAACCTATACTACACAAGCTAGACGCATTTGTTTCCTGGTCTGAAAGTGTTGCCCTTTTCTCGTCACTGGCCCTTGCCTGTAGAAAGAGCTTGAGCGGGGCATGGTGGCGCATGCCTGTAATCCCAGCACTCTGGAGGCTGAAGCAGGAGGATCGCTGTGAGTTCAAGACCAGCCTGGACTACATAGTGAGTTCCAGGTCAGTCTCAACTACACAGTGAGACCCTGTTTCAAAAAACCAAACTAAAAAAAAAAAAAAGTAAGAGCTTGGCTGTCAGTGGCAGGCCGTGGGGGTAGGAAACCTACTTTAAACTTCGGTGAGAACATGCAGCTGTTTAACACTCTGTCCTTCCTTCCTATTGATGCTGCTGCTGGGGCCCTGCTAGAGGAGAATGCCTCCGACCTCTGCTGCCTCCTTTCCTCCCTGGTGCAAGTGATGATGGACTCCCATTGTCGCACCCAGACTGGTTTCCAGAGCCTCATCCAAAAGGAGTGGGTCATGGGTGGCCACTGTTTCCTGGATCGCTGTAACCATCTCCGCCAGAGTGACAAAGAGGAGGTAAGACCACTGCAGTCAGTGGGAGAGCTCCTCTACCAGTACCTGCCTGCAAAGGGGAGACTACTCAGACTCAACAGGAAAAGTAGGATCTGTTCACTGTATGGTGAGCCTGAATGCTCTAAACAATAATGAAACCTTTCCTACGGGAAAATACTGACAGGAATGCTCAGGGTCTTCTGAATGGTCTGTACCAAGGCGGTAAATTGCATCCATGTGTGTGGGTTATGCCTCAGCCCCTCCTTGCTTCTGTGGATGGCTTCAGTCTGCTGGGCCTCTGAGATCAGGCACGGAAGAGTTGATGCTTTAGTGTGCTCCCAGATTGACTCCCCTCCCCGCAGTGCCAGAGGCTGAACCCAGGGCTTCTCCCTCCCAGTGCTGGTATTACAGTTGTGCGCCACCACGCCCGGCACTTTGTTTTTAATTTTGATGCAGGATCTTCTTAAGTTGCCCAGCCTGGGTTTAAACTCAGTCCTGCCTCAGCCTCCCTGAGTTCTGGTAATACAGGTGTGCTCCACTTCTCTAGCTCTACAAGCTCCCTTGGCTGCCTTTTCAATGGATGGTGGGGAAAAAAATGAAAATGGACTCTAAATCACACATGTAGCCATAATATGCTCATAGCAGTATTTGTGGGGATTTTTCTTTTGTTCTCTTTCCTTTTTTGTTGTTGTTATTTACTAGCCTTTGAACCAGGGCCTCAAGCATGGATGGTAGGAGAGTATTTAGGTCTGTGCTTCACGTCTAAACCTTTTATATAATTTTGACATAGCCTCCTTGAGTTGCCCAGGCTGGCCTCACATTTGCAAACAACACCCCACTCTGCGCCTCAGCCTCCTCAGTAGCTGGGATCACAGGCATGTGCGCTGCTCCCTGCTGTGGTTTTTCTTACTCCAGGTAATCAGTACATACGTCTGGTCAGAGCAGCTTGGCCTAGTATGACATGGGAATAGAAAGCGGTGGCAGCTTCCGGGAGGGCCAGGGCTCTGTCATTGGCCAAGTGGTTTCTTTCAGGCCCAACCTGTGCTCCTCTGTGTGCCATCGAGTTGAATAGAGATCACCACCTTTCAGTCTTGGAAGGGCCTTTGGGAAATAAATTTGCAAGATTGATGGAATTCACGTAGCATGACAGGCGGAGCGCTGACACTGTGTGGAGAAAAGTGTGATTTTGTTTATCTTGAGAAATGGGGTGACAAGCAATGGATCTAGTAGAAAAAGGGGCCAAGAGAAGACCAAGTCTGCTGTTCACCCAGCCCTTTATGAGTCACTCACGTTTTCTGAGCCCATGCCCCTGACTACAATAAGGTTCATATATCTTTTATTCTGCTTAATGATACTGTACATAAAATGGGGTGTGAAATAAAGTGGCCATATAAATGGTTCTTAGCATCTTAGCACTGACATGTTGGAGTTTTGAAGGAGAACTTGGCAGTATAAGTGGTGATATAATTGAGGCAGAACTGGCCTTTGATCCAAGAGCTTGAATTCCCACCTCTTCTGTTTCCCTCACTCTGTGTGAGACTCTGGCCAGACCCCTGGCATCGCTTGTCTTACAGAAAAAAGAGATTGTCATGGAGCTCTTCTCACCTCTCTGGCAGGATCACTGGTGAATCAAGGATGAGCACTTGTAAATAGTAATGCTCCCATTGTCTCTGCTTATAAAGGGCGTGCTCTGAGTAGCTAGTAAAGGAGGCCCAGGGATTAAAAATATATTTGTGAAAAAATGTTAGGAACTCGTTCTTATTGCTTCAGCCTTCTGTCTTACCACCCCCCCTTTTGTGTGGTCCTTCATGGGTGAGGGTTGAGGGCCTCTCACTCCAGCTCAGTCTCCAGGGCTGATGCTGACTGCAAATTAGTTTGTGAGCAGTGGCATGGATATCTCCCACACATACGCACACAATTTTTTATTGACAACATTTAAAATAACAATCACCATTGAGTAGTTTTTTGCATTGAGTACAGTTTTTTCACTTCTAATAAGAATGGTACTGTTTTGGAGAGAGATGACATTTCTTCTAATTGGGGTTCAGAGTTCATGTTCAAAATTAATTGCAGCTGGACATGGTGGCACATGCCTGTAATCCCAGCACTCAGGAGGCTGAGGCAGGAGGATCACTGTGAGTTCAAGACCAGCCTGGGCTACGTAGTGAATTCCAGGTCAGTCTCAACTACATAGTGAGACCCTGTCTCAAAAAACCACCCCCCAAAAAAAAATTAATTGCAAATGCTCACCTGTTAATGCTGGTCCATAATGAGATTTTACATACTTCGCTTTTGAAGTGTCCTTGGCATAGATAGGTTACTAGCAAATACTGATACTACTCCATGAGCACGTGGTTTCAATCGAGCGTGTTTTTAACTTGCAATGGGATGGAGCGTTCTGTGTTTCCCAGAGAACATAGGGCTCAGAAGTGGTTACTCCACAGCTCCTGAGAGGCTGTCCACTGATCTTGGGCTCTGTTCTGCTAAATAACATGTGTCTTATTTTCACATAGGTTCCTGTGTTCCTGCTGTTCTTAGATTGTGTCTGGCAGCTGGTGCACCAGCATCCCCCAGCATTTGAGTTCACCGAGACTTACCTGACTGTTTTATCAGATAGCCTGTATATACCTATTTTTAGTACCTTCTTCTTCAATTCACCTCATCAAAAAGATGTTAACATGGTAAGAGTCCTTCTTAGAAACCTTTACTGAAGAAGTTGGCTTCACAAATAGCATACAATGAGATTGATGCTTAAAATGGTACTTATGTAACTCTGGCTATCTTCCAGGCATTGTTTTAAGTGCTTTCCAGATTTTTATACCTGGAAAATATATTTAATCCTAGCAAATCCCTATGGATTATGTATTATTACCTCTGAGGAAGCTGAGGCACAGAGAAGAAGTAACTAGCCTAAGTGTCATATAGTAAATATTTAAGTTGGAATCATGTGCAAGAGGTAAAGGATTAAGCCCAATAAAAGTGGGGTCCCCCTCTGCCATGGTACTGAAGATTGAACTCAGGACCTTGCACATGCTAGGCAAGTGCTCTCCTACTACCTGTATTTCCACCCTCACCTCTCCTTTGTTTGATGCAAGGTTTCACTGAGTTGTCCAGGTGGGGCTTAAACTTGCAATCTTCCTGCCTCAGCCTCCCAACCAGCTGGCATTATAGGCATGCACCACTGCCTAGCTAAAAGCTGTCCTTTTTAAAGGCAGATCAGATGTCCTCTCTTCCCTCAGTTTGAAGCCTGCATTTATTACTCTGTGACAAGAAGACACCTGGCAGGACAGGAAAACCCAGCTTGATTTGCATCTTACAGCCCCTCTTGAGGCTACAGCGCAGCAGGTTAACTTTCTAAGCTAATTTCAGTGCCTCCTAGCAGCCCTCTCCTGGCCTCTTCATTAGCTTGAATGAGTAGGGTTACCAAGTCCCACAGTCAAGTGGGGATAACTAAACCTGGGCTTCTGAGTTAGACAGCCTGTTTCCCTAGCCCTGCACCTCCCAAGCTTTGTGACCTCAGGCAGTTTATTTCAGTCTTTTGAGCCTCAGTTTCCTCAAATGTAAAATTGGCAAGATAGTAGTTTTCTCAAAGTTTGTTCTGAAAGTGCCCAGCCCAGTGGCTGACATTTGATCCACTAAAAATAAGTGTCTTCTTCCCTCCTGCACCCCCCTGAGAGGTGTTGGTAAATAGCTTTTGAGAGCTTTGGCCCTGACGTGCCTGTGAAGTGCCTGGTGCCTGAGTCTGAGAAGCAGTGTTCACTTTCCTGGCCCTCCTCGGAAGCCAAGGTGACCTGTGCTTGTCTTGGCAGGGTAGGGAAAGCCTGTATACCCAAAGCAAGCTTTTGAATCTGCTCACCGTGTGGGATTGGTCTGTACAGTTTGAACCCAAAGCCCAGACATTGCTCAAAAATCCTCTCTATGCGGAAAAGCCAAAACTAGACAAGGGCCAGCGGAAAGGAATGCGTTTCAAGGTAAGATGCCCCCGTCTAAATCCTTCCATCTGCCCACAGGATAGAAGTAACATGGACAAGTGTTTGTGCCATCCCTTAAAATGCTGTGCTGAGTTGTGGTGCTCAAGTTGTCGGGCTCCGTTAGAAGAACCCTTTGCTTCCAGAAAATCTACCTTGGCCTGATGGGAGGTGGCCCTTTCCTGAATGTCACTGGGGATGCTGCTGCCATAGGCACGTTGCAGGGCGTCCTGTTCCTTAATCACCCTTGTATGTGGTTACTAGGGTAAAAGGAACATTGATCTTGTGGGTTTCACTTAGCATATGCCAGTTTGTGTACTGCACAGTAAGACTTTTCTCACTGAGCTGGACCTATAAACCAAGTGTTGGCAAATGCTTTCTGTCTAGGCCTGTAGGTCTCTGTTGCAGCCGCCCACTGTACTGGTGTGACAGAGAAGTAGCCCTGGAGCCGAGCATGGCTGTTTTCCTACTCCTGTGAAAACAAGGGCATGCCAGATTTGGCCCATGCTCTAAACCACAAAAGCTTTATTTCCTGCTCTAGTATTTGTTTCTCTTTTTACCAGTTATTATACTCCATAGGAACTAACTGATAAGTGCTTTAAGTCACTTGAAGTGATTAAGCTACATTTCCTAGCTCTGTCTCCTTGCCTGAATTTCTCATTGTCAGAGCCCACAGAAGGGAAAGTAGTGGTAGTAAATCCTCCCCCGCTATCCACCCCAGTCCTGCCCAACAGGGCTTGTAGGAGGCCGGCCAGTCCTGCTGCAGAAGTCAGCTCTGTTTAAAATGGATTGGGAACCTGACTGGGTTTGCTCACTCTGAGACAACCTCAGCTTCTGAGTGATGTAGCATTGCCACTTTGCCCTCTTACTTGTTCTCAGTCCACAGGAGATGTTTCCCTTCTCCGGTTCAAACCTCTTTTCAGTTAGTTTGACCAGAATTGCTTTAAGCCCCTGAACAAGTTGGCCCGAGATCAACTTTTCCTCAGTGTGTTCTGCCCCCTGGTGGCTGCCTGCACACTTCTCAGGAAAGGTGAGCTAGGATCAGTGAACTGCAAGGCGGGCGGCTCACACAGCGGGGCCTGCTCCACCTTCTATAAGGAATTCATTTCCGCCCTTTGAACCAGGTTTCCTATTGGTCTCTTTTCCATGTAGACAGTGCAGGTGGCCTCTGCTCTGAGAGTGGTTTGTAAGGGATGAGTTGAACCCGAGGACCAGAGGATTTTGGGTTGTGGAAGATAAAGCAGAACAGGGGTTGGGCAACAAGGAACTTTGAAGCCTTGGGGTAAGAAGACCAGATGTCAGGTTGGGCACCTGGCTGAGGGGACAGTTGGCCTCAGGGGCATCATAGAGACCCAGGAACCTGGGCTCGTCAGAATGAAATGCTGCTCTGTGCGTTGCCATGCTAGGGGCACGGTGTACTCAGTGCGGTCTCACTGCAGCCCCAAGCTGAATCAGCTCTGAACATGTTGCACCTCTCCTCCCACCCTGGCCCATCTCCAGTGTTCCATTCACCAAGGAGACTAAAGAGGAAAGGGCTTCCAGGTCCAAGTCAAATTCAGTTAAGGGCACAGGCTATGGAGTCAGGCTGGGTTTGAACTACTTCTGGTACTTGGTAGCTGGTGCTTTTGCCAACAAGTTTCTGGCCCTTAGTTTCCTCGTTTGGGCACAATAGTGACTGAGAAGTCAGCGAGTCAGCATATGTAAAGCACTGATCACAGAGCCTAGCAGGCAGGAAGTGCTCAGTGATGGGTTTCCTGCACAGTCTTCAGTCCCCTGTCCTGACTGACCCTGAGCACTGTGAGAAGAGAGGACACCGGCTCCTGGGTATTGTCTGTCCTGTCGCCAGATGAAGAGTCCAAAATCCGAGTCATTGGTATTTTGGATGATTTTGCTTTCTTTTATTTATATTGTTGTTCCATATTTTATAATAAGGAAATGTTTCCTTTATAATCATTTTTAACAAGGAAGACCCAATGAAAAGTATATTAGATTATACAGCTAGTCTGAAAATAAAATTTTTAATCTATTCTTACATTGTGTTTGTTTTGTTTTGTTTTGCTTTGCTTTGTGTGTTTGGTTTTTTGAGACAGGGTTCCCTATGTAGTTCTAGCTGGCTTCAAATTTTTAGCAACCCTCCTGCCTCAGCCTAGGATTGCAGGCACTTGCCACCATGCCCACCTCTATTCTTACTTTGAATGGGTGACGTCCAAGGAACAAAAGATTTGACAAAAACTACCTTCTCCCCAAATTTTTTACCTTCTTCTCTGAGCATTGGGGAAACCCCCTACTAAATCATCCATCTTCACAACTCTCTCACAGTGCACCCCAAAATATAATACATTGCTTTGGCTGCAGAGAGAATTAATAAGAATGTGGTCAAGCGAGAACATCTGGGCAACTTTGCTGGTTTCTCTTGGCAAAATTCCTTTGTTCCCATATACTTGTTTTTCTTGTCCAAAAGAATCTATGACTTAACCTTAAACTCCCACCAGATGCCTGATAAGCTCTCGGGGTTTTTTTTTTTTTTTTTTTTTTTTTCCCGTT